ACATTACATACATTACATACATTACATACATTACATACATTACATACATTACATACATTACATACATTACATACATTACATACATTACATACATTACATACATTACATACATACATACATTACATACATACATACATACATACGTCCATGCATGCATACATACATACATACATTCATACATTCATACATTCATACACTCATATACATACATATATATATATGTAATCTTTTGCATGTGCTTATCCCAGAATTGGTGGGAACATTGAATCAGGGTTTCGCCCGGAATGCCTTCGATTCAGGTGAAGCAGATCCACGGTCTCATTGAGCGCAAGCAGAATGAGGATGCTGCATCCTTGCGCGTGACTAGCGAGGCCTTGCCCGGTGTGGGCACATCCATGGTCGTCGGGGGATGATCATTAAAACATGACAGAAATGGTTCTTTAAAAGAAAAAGAGTTTGAACATCACGTTTCACCCGCTGTTGGAGCTGATTCCACTGGTTGGGTGATGTTTGACGAAAAACTCACCAGCTTCGTCATGGACATATTGGGGGTCCAGCATTTTGAGACCCCAGATAATGAGAATTCAAAGCAGTCATAGCATGGCAAGGCACCAGAATCCTGGAACATTGGAACAGCCCGTTGGGATTATTACGTGTTATTTTAATGTTTTGTTATTGTTATATATATATATAGGTTCTTATCATTGTGCACACCTTTTGATTATCCATGATTGGTATTTTCATATATATATATTGTCAGAATGATAATCACATAGTCATATGGTCCAAGTCATTATCATAATGATGCGTATGATAAAGCTATACATGATTGTTAAAATCTGTGATTACTGTATAGATCATCAGAATTGTTATACATATAATGGATGATCTATACTATATGATTGCTCATTGATAGTGTATAGTATCTATACCTGGTAATATGTATATATATATAGGTAATCATAGATTAAATACGATTCTTCATTAATAATATATATATATATTGAACATTATCACAACCAATAAGCTATGACCATTAGTATAGTATTATATATTGTAGATCTATAGATCATTACTACAATATTTTATTGTTATTATCATCATTATTATGATAGATCCATATGATCCATAGATCATTACTAAACCATATTATTATAATAGATCTATAGATCATCATTATCATTACCAATCATATAACCCCAGATCATGATTGGTAATAATAATTGTCATTATTAGATCATATAATTACCAATTACATATGGGGGTTTCCTAAATTGGGGGTACCCCAAATCATTCATTTTGATCAGATTTCCCTTTGTAAACCATCCATTTTGGGGTACCCCCATTGTAGGAAACCCCCATCCAATTATAGCAATTGTTAGTCAATTATTAAAAAAATATACCTTCGTATATCCAATTGTTGGTATACCTTGTAATCATATGGGTATGGGTCAAAATTAGGTACCCCAATAATTGGATGGTGAATACTAAACTAGACTAACATCTGTGGTCCCCTAGGTCTTCCATTTTGACCCACAGCTATATAGTCATCCTGGTCAGGTGGAGGCCAAGGTAGGGGCACTGTCGTCCCAAGTGGCGGATCTTGCGGCGCGACTTCTCGAGGCGGCGGGGATTTCATGTCCGATTTTTCGACGAAAAAAGGGCATTTTCTGGGATTTACTGTGGAGTTTTGGTGAATTTCATTGGATTTTAAGTGGATATCAGGGGATTTTTGTATATATATATATTATAATATATAATATTTGAATATCTTTCTTACAGAGTTGGTTTAAGAGAAAATTGAAACCGGAGACCATTTTTCTTTGGAGGAAGAAAACCTGATGGGTTTTCTGTTCAACACCCTGAATCAGTCCATTGGATTTCTAGGTCGTTTTTCTGTAAATCCAGTCGTGAAGCAGTTGGATGCTGGTTTTGCTGGGTTTGCTGGGCCGAGTCTCATATCTAGTCTAGCTATCCTTTTTTGGGTACCATCAGGGGTTGGTTTGCCTGTCCCATTTTGGGTATATTGGACATCACCTTATAATAGCCATTATAGACCATATACCTAATGGTTGGGTGATGTTCAATAGAGACATTTAATGACCCATGACCATGATTTATGATAGACCATCATGATTGACCATGATCAACGGATGGTTATCTTAGCCATGATATATTTTTCGGTACCATGATTGACCATGCTTATCTTGCAAGATCAATGGTCATTTCAGGAACCTAAATTGGAGGTACCTACCATATATAAGGCCTATGTAAGGCTTATGGAAGGGAATATTCCCCCAAAATATGGCCTTATATGGTACAGTACCTCCATTTTGGGATCCTGAAATTCCCATTAATCTTATGCCCGTATGATTTATCGTCTTTGAGGCCGGACTGACCACTGATAAACGCATTGATGGCAGCAAACTCCCTGGCAAGACGGAACATTCTCCACTGGGGGTGGCTCATTTTTTGCGGTGTCCATCTTGGTTGATGACCAAAGGAGGTTCTGCTACCCGGTACTACCCAATATATTCAGGATTATCCCCATAATGAGAATATCCATTGACCAACCATCATAAACTACAATATTTTTTCATTTTCTCAATTTTTCCACATCTTTGGTTTCAAAGCATTCTACTGAGCCGAAGAAAGTCCATCAAAATCCAGTGCTTCCCTGCTGTTCCCTGTGGCCACCAGCACAGGTGGAAGGCAACCTCGATTTTGTCAGGGAAAATGAACCGTCATCCTTGACGGAGGCTTGGATTGTGGTGTTCATGTTGGAAGGTGGAATCAGGAGGGTTTATGTCCAACCCCCCTCTTGAGTCACCCACGAAGGTTTCTTATGGTTTCTTAGCATCATTAACTCGGCACTTGTTGCGATTTCCTCTCACCCGCACCAAATGTTGAAAGGGCGGGGTTGATTCCTGGTATATACAAAAGATTACACCTTGAGTGTTTGAAAGCAACTGTTGCAAATTGAAGACCAACAATGACATTATGGGTTTTCCCATGTTGCTGCTTCTCGTCCGGAACTTCGGCTTTCTACACAGACACAGCATCTCAACGGACAGAGTGTTGCTTCAAAGGGGGCCTGGGTGAGTCTTCGGTTCTTGCGTTTAACATGAGTGTTCACGGAAGTAGAAGCTTCGAAGATTGGTGCAAGGCAGTGCAAGGTATTTATATCCTTTTTCTGGCCGGCACACAAGAGGAGGTTGAAACGACTGAAGATTGCCCGGGTTGGTACGGAATGCTTCCCTTCAAGGAGGCTTTGATCAAAATTTTTGGCTAAAAAGGACTCGTCCAGAGGGTGCAGTTACCTCCAACCAGATGCTTGTTGCTGAACATTCCAATGCATGCATTCTGCAAACATATCCCCAATATATATATACGTATATATATATATATATATGCCCAAACATATCCCCAATTAACTGCCATCATTAATTCCCGTGTATCCCCACCATCCCCTCATGAAGACCCATGGGATTACGGCTTGTCAGGCACCGCGCATGACACTGTCGACACCTTTGCCCAGTGAGGCGCTTGCGGCGATGCTTGCGGGTAGCCGACGGTAGCCATTTTGTGGGGACATCATGGGGATGTAGTGGGTATATAATGCGGGAGTGCAATGGGGATGTACTGGGTAAATACCAAGAAATCCCGTGATATCTCATAATTGCATATATCAAACTTATTCAAACTTCACATTTCATTACATATTGTTGGCTATAATCAAATCATATCTGGTTTTGTATTGTTGGGATATCATGGAAACACAACATATAATAATATAATATGTTGGTTATATCATTGTAGAACTTATTATCAGAAACATATCATGAACCAACATATTATATTAAATATTTCATTATATATATATATATTATATTATATGATATATATATATATAGCATAGAACCTGCTGAAGCTATCTGACACTGCTGATTTAACCCTGAAATCCGACGAAGATGGCCCAGGGAGCGCCTCAACCCAGCGCATTGCAGGTCACATTGGGTGGGACGCGGATTTTCTATTGTAGATCAGTATATCATTGTATAATATATATATTATACATATTGTATATGTGTATATATATATTATACATATTGTATATGTGTATGTATATATGTATATATATATATACATTATATATATGTCCATATGCACATGCATGTAATATGGATAGACTGTATACTGTATTAAGATGTATTAAGTATATATATATATACACATACACATACACATATATTCTGTATATTTCGGTTATAGGGATTAAAAAACAATGATTTGCACAGCCAACACTGCTGGATGAGCAGAAGTGCCAGATTTTTGTCTTTGAAAAACAACTGAAACAGTGCTCCTCCATGATCCTTGAAAAGACTCCGTCATGTTGAAGGGTCAAACACATGTTATATTTAGGGCTTCTGAGAATCTAAGAACCCGGAAAATTGTTAGTTGGGTTCCCATGTTGGTAAGTCGCATCACTTCCCAGAATATGACCGGTTCCTTGTTTCAAACATCTCATCTGTTCCCATGCTACTTGCAGTTTTTTGATGGTCCTGATGGATTTCCGTATCCATCGGATGGTTCTTTTCACAACACCCGCATTGGTCCAGCACCCCACCCCCACACGTGTCCCGTTCGCCAGGAGAAACTCGAAGCGATCGCGGCCCACCTGGAGGCTTTGGGGGGTTGTTGATCTTTAGTATTAGATCTATTGAATAATGAGGGCTTACCATAATAAAGGAGCCTGAAAAAGATACCCGGTATGGCATTTGCAGCTGACAAAAAGCGTTTGGCATCGCTGCTGGTATGACTAGTACATGTGTAATCTTAGATTTGCTGATTTGATCTGATTGATCTGATTTGGTGATTTTGATGATATATTTCAAATATTTCCCAATGATCAATCCATCACTATGGGACTATGGGGATTCATGTTCGATTTTCTGGGGCCTCAGGATTTTCATTGTTCCCCATGGGAAAGCCTTGAAATGGTAAAATCCCATGGGTTCCAGTATTGAAAAAAAAACCATCCATTGGTTTCAAGGAATAACCATGATTCAATCGATTCAAGGGGATCTTCCACTTTGAGAAAGAACCATTTATGTGTGCTTCGATGTATTCGGGATGAAACATCCACAACTACCAGCGGTTTCCAGATCAGGGGTGTTTATCCATTGAAACCACACCCAGGGGGCAAAAAAACTTTCTGCTTTTGGGTATCTTCAAAAAACAATAAAAATTGCCAAGTGAACGGTCCCCCCAAAAAGTCATGGTATTGCCAACAATACCCTCTGGTAATTTAACAGGTTGCTATTGAACATGGCCATAGAAATAGTGAGTTTTTCCATTAAACATGACCATTTTCAATAGCAAACTGTTAAATTACCAGAGGATAACTATGGAAAATCACCATTTTTAATGGGAAAATCCACTATCAATGGCCATTTTCAATAGCAAACTGTTAAATTACCAGAGGGTATGTTCATTGATCATTTCTTGGTCCAATAAATCAGAGTTGTTCTTCTCCATGCGATTGGACCAAGATTGTGGACGACCTCACGGACCGCGTGGGCGACTTGGAACGGCGCTGGAGCCTTAGCGCAGGCGGGCGGCATGGAAACGGGATACCATAGCATTCATGGCATTTTTGAGAAACGTTTTTTTTTTTTTAAATGGGATTTTATAGTGATTCAATGGGAAATTAATGGGATATACCCTCTGGTAATTTAACAGTTTGCTATTGAAAATAGCCATTCATAGTGGATTTTCCCAGCTATAAAATGATGATTTTCCATAGTTATGTTAGCTTACCAGAGGGTAAGTCACAATATATAATCACGCCAAATTTGGATACATTGATGATTTTGAGGCCAGGCAGCACTGTTGCAGGGTGGTCAGCCCACTTTTGGTTTTCCCTTTTTCCGACCCCAAAATGAACAACTAGTACTAAAGCAGGGGTTCTTAAGGAATTCTAAGTGGATATTGAGTGATATTGAACAGACATAACGGACACTGGGGCTTCTTTACGGGGATACAAAATCGGGAAGTCCCACTGTTGTACCTGACGATCGAGTTTTTCCCATCTGCCAGGCCAAGAGGTGCATGGAATGGGCAGCCCTCCTGGACCCCTCTCGGAGGTTGGGTCCCGCTTTGTTTTGGTCATCATTTTTTTTGGTGAATGAGGTGAAATCTATCCTCTGGTAAACTAACATAACTATGGAAAGATCCACCATGTTATAGCTGGGAAAATCCACTATTTCAATGGCCATGTTCAAGTTCGCAAACTGTTAGTCATTACCAGAGGCTATGGGTCGATGGCTTGTGGCCTCGGAAAAGGATCAACTGAGTTTGGCAGATTTGATGACTTTGGCCCAGTCTTTTAAAGGTCGCTTGGAATACCAAGCAGAAAGATGGTTTCCTCCCGAAACGCTTTGAACTTTCCACTTTTAAAAAACTGGAACTGACAGAATTGACTAAATCTTACGAAGTAAGATGGCACTGGAACTGCTGCAACTGCCCCATTTTTTTGGAGTGATGATTTGTGGGGCAAAACGCCAGATATATCCAGATATCCATTCCTTGGGCATTTTTTTTCTGAGGTGAGTTTCGGTGGAGAAGCACCAATGAAGGCCGGATGGCGAGGGTCGTTTGCTCGACTTTGCCATCATGGCCAGTCCCAAAGATCCCGGTCAATTTATGCACCAAAGAACTAGAGATTCGATGATTTCAAGGAAACACCATGAAACACCTACAAATCATCCAGTTCTTCCAAGTGTTTGGCAGAGCCCTCTGAAAGAACGTGGAGTTGTTTCAAAAATTGCTTCGATACCATCCATGTCCTCGAAAGATTGGAAATCCATTGGCCAAAAATGAACCAATTGGCCAATGACGGTGATGTTTTTCTTGGCCCATTTTGAGGCTTACAAGTTTTTGACACCTTGGCCCATCCTCAACCAGGCGGCCTCGGCACATGCTGAAACCGTGGGCCGCGAGTGGTGACCTGAGCCGCAGCAAAAAAGCACCAGGGTATCACCAGGGTATCATTGGGTGGAGCCGTGGGGCCAAGGCTGGGTGACTTGCAATTGCGTTTGGATGCCAACGATGGAAAGCTGAAATCCTTACAGGAGGCCACGACCGGCGGATAGTGAGGGACAGTCATTGTGCGGCGACTTGAGTTTTTGGATGCCACCGTCCGTTTTTTAAAAATGAAGTCACTTTTTGGCCATTCCTGCAGTGAACATCCGGGTTAGGGACATACCATGGAAGTACCATAGATATCCATAGATACTTTATGGTACTTTGAGTACACATGTCCATATTTTTTGCGCATTTGCTCGCTGGTGTTCAGGAAGTTCGCACCAAGTTGGCTCTGGCGAAGGCTGCTCGAAGCTGGGGGGTCAACCCTGGATCAAGATCTACCCTGGTTGATTGGGCTTTCCTGGGTGATCACTGGGGTTCATCCGGGGTTGACGCCTTCCTGTGTTCATTGCTCTGGGAGGTGACGGTAATATGAAGGCGATCACATCATGCGCATATGATGTGTCATTGTTTGATAGTTTCACAAAATTTGCTACGGGTCAAAGCCTTATTTTTCTATCCCGGTTTTCACACCAAAACTTCGTCCGTTGGTATTATGTTCATCCCTGCAGCGAAGCCATGTGTATTGACCCATCCCAAAGACAGCCACGATTGGAGGAGTGCCCATGTTTCTCAAAATGTGCATGGCTGAATGTGATCGAAGCCCATTTTGGGAGGGTTCAAAACCAAAAAGGCAAAATTTGATCAAACTTGTACTTTGTAGGTCCACGGGCCTTGAGCCAAGTGGTTTTTCTTGCTGGTTGAATTCCACTTTTTGTTGGTTGAATTTTCATTGTATGATCGAAACATATCGAAACCCAATTCTTGATGGTAAACACTCCCAGTACCATTCAGATTGGCAAAAGTGGCTCACCTTTGCAAATTTCCAATCTTTACCAGCTTTATCGATCTTTACCAACTTGGTTTTCAATGGTTTTCCACTTGTTGGTTTTCACCCCTAATCCCCAGAAATCTGGGCCCCAGGCTGAAGGGCAGGGTGCGCAGACGCAGCAAGGGAACTCAGAAATGATGTTTTTCTCCAGGGGGCGTATGGTAAAATCTAAGTACTGATTGATAGTTGGTGGTTCAAAATATATTTAAAGCGAAAACAAAGCAATTTTAGGATATTTACCCTTATATTAATCTTTCTAGTGACGTTGTGGTGACGTCGTTATAACTCACCATAATTTCCAAATACCAGTAGTACCAAGTTGGGTCTTGGTAAAACACCATTCTTGCTGACTTTTGTTCTGATTTACCATCAGAATCATTGGTCGCTTCCAACTATGGTCATAGCATTGGTCGCTTCTGGTTGGTGGTTGAAAACCCCCCTGGTTAAAAGATGACCGTCATTGGGCATTATCATCCCGTTTCTAGGGTGAAAAATATGGTGTTTTTCTGATTTTCCACATAACCCAATTCTCAGTTCCCCAAATAACGGGTCACTACTAAAACATGATTTTTTGACAGGGTATTAGATTTTGTTTGGGGGGATTGATATAAACTTGCCCTAGACCCCAAGCTGGTTGCTTGGTGGTCCCCCCTCTCTTACGAACCCACTTACTAACTGATGACCAAGTACTGAAACGAATGGTGACGACTGGGGATCCCCCATGGGCTGCTCCAAAAAACACGGCTGATCCGGGCCCCATGAGAACCCAGGTTGAATGACTTTGCAGCCCGCCTCGGAAGCTTCGAACAGATCTTGTCCACCATGCAGGAGGTGCGGTGCCAACCGCCCAAAAGATGCAGAAAAGTACAATGAACTTTAGTAGCGAGATATTATGACATGTTTATATCCTTTTCAAATTCCTTTTCTATTCTTTTTTTGGGGTGCCATAGATCCATGTGTTTTTTTTTGGGTAGGGGTAGAAACCATGGCTTCCTTGTAGAAATTATATAAGTGAACAATGGAAAGGTGCAATTATCACACTTCGAAATTCATGTGGATGTGGTGAACCCAATAATTCAGAAATGATGGCCACAAGGGGGGTTTATCTCACTGGTGTTCAAAGCCCTAATTGGTTGATGATTTTTTAAGGGGTTAGGTATACCCAGGTCAGACCTATACTGCCTATACTGTAGATTGAGGATCATAATCCATCAATGGAAATCCTCATCAACCAACCAATTTATCAGGCACCTGCCGCTTCCTTCGCGGATATCGATGCCTTGCGCTTGGTGGGGAACCCCTTGCTGTCGCTTTTCCGTATTCGGATGAGCAAAACCACTAACGGCACTAACGAGTGTGCGAATCGAGTGTGTTTGGAACGCAAACCACAGTAGATGATTTTTGGTTAGAGTCGGTTAGAGGATGAGTCAGAACGTTTTTCTTTGTACATGAAAAGATCGATAAAATCAAACTTTTTGCGCCGCAAAGTTTTTTTGGATGTCTTTGACTTAGTAGGACGGCATTTCGGACACACATGGGTGTGGTACACTTTACCTTTTTTTTCCCGCCATACTTTTTGCTTGCAACAATATATATATATATAAATATTATGTTGTATATTATGAAAACACTGCACCGTGGTAAGAGGCGTTTTTTTGACCTCTGCTGGGTTTTTCGTTCCAGGAATTCGCCGACAAGTTCGACAAAGGTCCAGGAATCGCTACTTCGCTGCAAGCCTGGGAGAGGCAGATCACGTAGGACGAATCTGATGATATGGGTTGGAAATGGTTGGAAAATATCATATTATTATAGTTTATGATATATGAATATCATCATATCCCATATATCCATATTTTTGAAGCTCTCAAACATGGCAATAGAATATAATAGAATCACCAGAAATTGGTTGGCAATATTTTGATGAACTCAGGATCCATAGACTCCATGGACTCGATTTTCAGGACAGTGAATTCGCTGGTGCCCTCTGCCAAGGATGAGACGTCCGAGGTCCAAACCCTGACCTCAAAGATGGCTGAGGAAATGAAGGAGGCCGTTTGGACATGAACCAAAAGTACAAACGAATTAATACAAATTGTTTGATTTGGTTGGTGGTTTCAATCAATTCTGCCATTTTTAGCAATTTTTACCTCCCTGTGATAAGTATACCAAGCAGCAAATGCTCGGGTTTATCCCAGGCTATCCAAGCTGTGCAAAGGTTTTGACTGGGGAGGTTGTTTGGATTGGTCTTTGGCATCTTTATCTTTTAAGCGAAGGGATTTCATCCTGAATTTGCAGCTCCAGAAAGAGCATGTGTGCAGTTTCCAGTTTTACTTTGGCATGGCATTTGAGAAGCAAACCACGTTTGAGTTGTTAGAACTTCCAGTGTTGACACGACAGGCTGTACACATGTAAATGCTTCTCTAGATATCTCGTCTGTCAAGACACCAAAGTCCTGATGCACGATGCAAACACCTGAGATCTATGCCCAAGTCTTATGTTTTGGGGGTCCCAACGAAAAGACATGACAATGATGGGTCGAGGATGGTTGGGGATGACTATGCCTGTGGTGATTGTCATGATCGTCATTATGGTCATGATCATCATGAATTCCCTCTAAAAGACAGCGTGGACTGTCACCTTTTTTCCGATGGTCCAGGTGAAGGAAGAGGTGCAAGAGCTCTCCGAGAAGGTGGCGAAGACATGTCATCATCATCATCATCATCATCATCATCATTCTGTTCCATATTCTATATGCATGTGTATATTGCTTGTGAATTTTCTATTTTGATATTAGGTGGTTGCCTAAAACATAAAAATGCCTTGACTTTCTCCGTTTTCGTCCAGATTTTTTCTTGTTGTCTCCATGTTCTTTTGTATACATACACATAAGTGATTTACATATATATATAGAATATTGAATCATATATATTCATATATACATATAGATATGCACATACATTATACCTATACCTATACCTATGCATATACACAGGCTGTATACATAGACATATTTGATTTGCCGATCATCCGGAGGTGGATCTCACCTTGGATGATCTGAAAGAAGGCCTTGTGGCCACCAAAAACACCGTGGAGGCGCCCCAGATGTCCTCCACTTAAGATTTTTGTAACTGAACTAAAGTGGGTTTACCCTCTGGTAAACGTTAACAAAAAACTATGGAAAGATCCACCATTTTATAGCTGGGTAAATCCACTATAAATTTTAAATGGCCATTTGCAATAGCAAACTGTTAGCTTACCAGAGGGTATGTTATAATCCACTTGGGATGCGCATCCAAGTAGGGAACCGAAAAACATTTGGAGGCGCTGAGACAATACAAGGCGGTATGAAGCTTTTAGGTTCAGGATCAAGAGGATGGAAACCCTACATGAATCTAAAAATCCTGCTTAGTTTTAGGCCCTGTGCTCAGATTTTTTTTTTTCCGTTTTTGATTTGTCTTCACTCATAGCAAGCCCCTACTTGTACTTGATGAAACCACCTGAAAAACATCCACGGGATGCAACCCAATGGGGGGGTACATATCACTGGTTCACATGGGTGTCTCTTGAGGCAGCCATGGCGCCCATCAAGCAGGAACTCAAGGATTTGCCGGGCAGCCAAGTCTGAGTCGATGGTGTATCCCCGGGTAAAGAAGTGTAGGTTAGTGGGTTGATCTTCATTGCCACATATGCATATATCGTATATCTATGATTATCTATGTGCATATCAGTATATATATATATATAAATACGTGTGTATGTAGAATATATATATATATGTATATATATATAATGCACATATGTGAGTGCAGTAAGACTTCCTTCATAGCTGATAACTTTTGCCGGCCGCCCTGATACCCTAAAATGGGATGACCAAAACCCCCTGAGAAAATCCCCAGTATTTGTTGAGACGTATCCCCGTTGAGACGTATCCCCGTTGTTGATTCGTAGATTCAACATTTGATTAAGTGAGATCCAACTCTTTAATGGTTAAATGAGATCCTTCCTTTTTCAAGGTATGAGATCCCAATTTTTGATTGCTAAATCACACCTTAAGGCTTAAACCCACATGCTTGATGGTTACATCCTCATATTCTTTGCCAGATCCTGTTTCTGATGGTTAAATCCACATTTTAGATGGTTAAACTCAGATTTTTCATGGTTAAATGCCATCTTGAGATAGTGCTTCATAGTAAAACACCATCATTTCAGCATGTGAAGAATCCAGATTTTTTCATGGTCAAATCCAGCTCTTTGATGCTCAGCATGCTCAGCCGTCGAGGCGCCTGCGCCTGCCCGACGCTGACGCCGAAGCGAGTGCGGAGCAGGCGATCCTGGAGAAGTTGGAGGAGGTGGGGAAAGTGGAAAGCTGTCCCCTCGCGCTACGCGCCCAGGTTTTCAATGGAAAAGACGAGGGGGTTGTCTCAAAACATGGAAAACCCCCAAAGAAGCCAATGGAAAGCCTGAAGTTTTTTAGCAAACCTTTTTTCAAGATATATAGAGATTCAGCCAGGTGCCAGGTGCGGGCAGGAGCTTACGTTTTCAGCCCTGCTTGGTGCCCGCTCCCATTTTTTGATGGTTAAGAAACACACTTTCCCTATGAAATGGTGATAGATTGAGGGTGTATACACCCATCTTTGGACACATCCCATGTAGAACAAACCCATGGGAAACTCCGTGAAAAGTGTGATTTTTCAGCAACGAGGAACAGAGCTTGCTGAGTTCGGCACAAACTGGGGACTTCACTGGTGTGCAGCAAAATATGCGTGCTTTCACCCGAGGGAAATGGATGAGTTGGATGATTTGGATGATTTGGATGATTTGGATTGACTTGGGAGGTCGATATAATCATAATTCATCATGATTCCCCTTGGGAAGAGATTCAGATTCCCATCATTCCCAGCCCAGGTGGACACAAAGATCAAGGGCTTCCAGACAGAACTGCAGGCTGCGGGCGCTGCAGGAAACCATGGGAAAGCAATGGTTTTGCGCGTGATCCAACAATAGATGGGGGGGGTTAGCCAACAATAAACTGCACAAGTTGGAATATAATTATATGTAAACATATATAAACCATTGAAGCTGGATGATGGTTGCCCTAGGCTAAACATTTTCCATCCTACCTGGGATGACCAGTGACAGATTTTTGACCTGCACTGTTTGTACCACCTGTATTTCAGCAATGCTGAAGCTTTTCATGATCGTTTCATCACAGATAGCAAGGCAGAAATCATCGGGGGAATCCTGAAAGAGGTCGCGGTCCATTTTCGTTTCCATTCGGGTGTGGGCTGGTCCTTGCTTCATTGCTGCCAGGCATCAAAACCGGCTCCCAACGACGCAGCTCGGCTTGCATCGCTGACTTGGAGTTGGTGCTCCAGAGCAATGCGAAGGTCAGTGCAAGTTTAAACTGGGCACACCAAAAGCCGTTTCCCTTCAAAAAAGAATACAGAACATGGACCCAGGTACCCTAATGGCTTGAGCCAGAGCCAAATTGTGTCTCACAGTTTGAACCCCCGAAGGAACATCTTAGAGTCTTAGAACATCATATTCTTTACCTTATTCCGTGATGGCTTTGAATCTCAGCTTCTACCATGGGGGTTGGTTGAAACATTAGCAACATACCATAAAATTTGAAGGGATGAAGCTCCAGAACTACCACAACAGTGGCTTGCCACGGAGCCTAGGACCTTGCTGAGCTCCAAAGTGCCATCAAAAGGCGCAGTTTATTTTTCCTGCAGTGACGTGTGAAATCATGGGTTTGCGCGAATATGTAGGGGACAACCCCTAAATCCAGGGGATTATCGGTATTTTTTGTGTTTTCCATGTAATTTTCCCTATTGTTCGATGGCAATCTGAAGAGTTTTTGCACTATTTTGGGTCACACCCACATATCAACGATGATATCAGTAAACGCACAAACATGTATAAACTGTATAGATTCCAACCCGGAGGGATTCCTTCACTGATCTTTCTCATATCTTTGGATACTGCGATACAAAAAAAAACATGTTGGCACATGTTATATATATATATAGATCATCAAAGACGTCTGAAAATCAGTTTTGATGTCAATGTCTTGATAGATTATGTCTTGATGTAGTTCACTATATGGAGGTTTCCGAGGGCCGGTATGGCTTAGTGGATAAGGTCTTCATCCCTCATGCGTCAGACCCGGGTTCAATACCCGGGCGCAACACTAGGCGGACAGGCGGGCCACTACCCCACCCCTGTAGGTAAGGGGATGAGCTAGGGTGTGGTCCGTAAAAATTCTCTCTCTATATGGAGGTTTCCTAAAATAGGGGGTACCCCCAGTTCTCATCCATTTTATTTTCGGCTTTTCCATGAAATCAACCATCCATTTTGAGGTTACGCCATTTAAGGAAACTGCCATATGTGGTACACCGAATCAGGCTGCAGGACGCTGCCCCCGAGGCGCGTTTGTTGGGAGGGGATGGCGATCCTGTTTACACAAAAAAAAGAGGGAAACCAATAGGAGGTCAAAATCACCGGTTTTTGTTCACCCATATTTTTTTCCTATTTTTTATTTTTTTGATTTCCAATGGGCGCCTGGAATAGGCAAACATAATCATACACACACATATATATATACAGGTATATATATATATATATACGTACTTACAATATATATATATATATATGTAAATAAATAAATATGATATGAATACCGTACATATATATATATACACACACACCTGCATATATAACAAACACAGTGTATAGTTTTGTACATAATATGCACATATATATATACACGATTATATGTATGTATAATTATTCCTATCAACCGACAGGAATAAGGGGAGGACGGATGGTTTTGGCCACTGTGCAACTGGAGGAGTTGACCCCAAGGGGATTGAACCGGTCCAGAAATCATGGGCATGACTGAACACGTAGGTGTCGACGTTTGATGGGCCTGAAAGGCCCTGCACTGCGACTTCATGTTGTTTTGAGGCAGCAATGGCAACCATCAAGCAGGAGATCAAAGATTTGTCGGGAAGCCAAGTCTGAGTTGGTGCCAGCTACATAGTTTCATTTTCATGGTCATTCTTCTATGGTACAATCATCTTAATCTGGGCAAACATTGGTGAAGGGTAGGCTACTGTGTTTTGGCTATACACACACATATATATATATACACATATTTACACATATGGATTCTACATAGATGGCGACATCTTTCACACCCGATTTTTTGTTTTTAAGCAGAATATCTAAGATTGGCAACGGTACCATATGAACGTTCAGTGATCTCAGTATTTGTTGGTGAATACCTGGTCTTCATGGTCAAGTCTCAGTTTCTGATGCTTAATAACTTATTTCATTTGTAGAAGAATCACTAGAATTTAATCCAAATTTTACCAGTTCACATTGTTTTGCGGTATCCGTATTTTTGACAGTTGCATCTGCATTTTGTATGCTTGGATCACCATTTCTGATATTTAAATCCCCGTTCTTCATATGCAAAATCATCTTAAATCCGCTTCATTTTGTCATTTCTGATGGTGAAATCCTGAGCTTTTCACTGCTTAGATCACTATTTCTGATGGTTTGATCCCACATTTTTCACTCAAATTGACACCTTTTTTGCTGGTTCTTATCCGCTCCCGGCTGCTTCCTGGTGAGTGCCGAGGCGCCTGCGCCTGCCCGATGCCGACGCCGAAGCGAGTGCGGAGCAGGCGATCCTGGAGAAGTTGGAGGAGGTCGAAAGCCGCGTGAAACGCGGTGTTTTTTTGGGTTACGGCACCAAAAAATAGAGGTTCAGAACAGGAATTAGGACATATTAGGACTATATATTTGAAACTATAGTGGGGAATTTTACTTTTCTGCCTTTTTTTGGTGTTGCCAGAAGTGAGTGTAGCTAGCAGCTAGCAAAAGATGTGGAGTTTACGAGCAAAAGATGGGAGGACTTCACCAGCACCCGCAAGAGATGACTTTGTTACCATCCATCTGGGTTTCAAATTTCAACAAAGACGGCCAAACTTTGAAAGCGCGGTGTTGCTATTGGGGGCAACAACGGTGTTGCCAGAGGAATCTATGAATCAATGCTCTGATTCGGTGAAATTCCCCTGGTCATCAGATTGGTACCTCTGGTACCTCTGGGATTGGTGAACCGAACCAACCACCAACTTGATGCAGCCTACTGATTCCACCTGGAGACGGTGAACCTGCCAGGTGGACACGAAGATCAAGGGCTTCCAGAAAGAACTGCAGGACAAAAAGCTGGTTCGAAGCAGTTGATTCAGTCGATCATGTTCATGTCACAAAATCAGAATGATGGACTCACACAACACATGGCACTGTCCTAGCCAGAGTTTCTTTTCCCCTTCCACTATCTGGAGCCCAGAAGTAGGCCCTGTAGGGGCTGAGAACGTTGGACCATGTGGAATCCTTTCAGCTGGTGCACCACCGGGGCGGGGACCAAATCTCTGGATGACCGCAAGGCATCCAAGGGCGCTGCTCCCGACGTAGCGGCTTGGCTTGCAGAAAGACCATATGAATTTCCACTGGTCAATGGATGTCAATGGGACAAACATCCATTTTCTCTAATGTGGTTGGCTCAATCAGATTCGCCCTTCCCCAATTTCATCGGAAACGGGTGGGGGAAAAAGAAGAAAACACTTTAGGTTTGTTATGAAAATCATGTGGTGTGACCGTCCTCCTGAAATTTGCCAAGCTGCTGTGGGAAGGGAGTCAGTCTACTGGTGACCATGGCAATCCCTGTTAGCCGAGCGGCCGAGCGGGGGGACACACGCCTTGATACAGGTTGCGTCAGAGAAGATGAAGGAAATAGAGGAGGCGCTGCCAGATCGAATCTGAAGGTGAAACCACCAGCAATTTCATGAATATCATCCAGAAATGATGATTTGTATTGATTTGTCTGATCGTTTATCAGGTATTGGAGGTCATTGAATTAACATCTGTGGACTTGCAGTTCAGGCCTTGATGGAGGTTCTACAACTTTTCAGTCCAAAAATTCCAGTCCCTGGGAATGGCTCAATGTTTCAGACGATTTTCAACACCCCATGTCTTGGGTCAATCTGAGTCAATCTTGATCCACTATTTTGTTGAGGACATATGAGATCAAATTTCTGTCCACGACTCATTCACTAGCCACATTCTAGCCACCCTATTGTTGAATTTTGATCCACACCTTTTTTTTGGGGGCCTCCACGGTTACCGGCCTGTAGTCCATCGCCAACCTCGAGACGAAGTTGACGGTCATGTTCTCAGGGTTTCAAGCAGGAAAACTGCAATGGGGGATCTTCCAAATCGCAACACGGGTTTATCTGAAAATTGAAAATAGTGTGTCTGTATCCCTAATTTGAATGGATTGTCATCATTTCTTCATTGATGCCATTTTGAGGAATTCCGATTCCCCATTTTTGAAGCAACCCACATCATTTATGGATCTTGGTGGCAACAAGAAGAACCCCGCGATCAAAAACTTATATAACTTTCCAGAATAGGCCAAACATCAAAATCATCCCCAAAGGTGCAAACATCCAAGACCCTCCAAAGTTGGGACTCCAGCGACAAGCACACGCTTCCAAGACTTGGCCGAGGCGCCCAAAAACAGCAAGGCCGACGCTGAAAAGGCGACCTTTCTTCGCCTGAGAAGAAAGGATGGCTTAGATTCTGTCCCAAATAGAAAGATACCCTCTGGTAAACTAACGTGACTATGGAAAATCACCATTTTTAATGGGAAAACTCACTATAAATGGCAATTTTCAATAGCTATGTTAAATTACCAGAGGGTAGCCTGGAAACTGAGGAAACATCATCGAACTATCTGCGGACTTTTAGTCAGATCGGTGGATCATCCCAGCGGCACCCCAAATTTGGTGTATCAACGTTTTCCATAGTGTTTACCCTCTGGTTATGTCAACATAGCTATTGAACATGGCACATAGAAATAGTTGATTTACCGAACTTAAAGATGGTGATTTTCCATAGAAATAGTGGATTTTCCCATGAAAAATGGTGATTTTCCATAGAAATAGTGGAATTTCCCATGAAAAATGGTGATTTTCCATAGCTTTTTGTATGTTTACCAGGCCGGGTAATGGCCAGAACTGGGGGTTATCCCGTAGTATCCCCGATTTTCTGGGAGGCTGAGGATCACTTTCAGGACCTTCGGCAGACGTGTGGAGCCTCAGTGCTTCAAAGATAAGCGCCGGATGGGCGATATCCGCAGTTGTGAACCGTGGTTTTCATAGCAGTTATAATATACCCTCTGGTAATTTAACAGTTTGCTATTGAAAATTGCCATAGAAATAGTGGATTTTCCCATTAATAGCATGGTGATTTTCAATAGCTATGTTAAATTACCAGAGGGTAAACCAGATGTAATCAAGTTAGAAATGGCACAAACCCATCTGTATGATACCATTATGGTTTACCCATTTGCTATCTGGGATACATGTCCAAGTAGTGTGGCAGTGGTTCTTGTTTCTTCCTGGATTGTGTATTACTTCAGACCAGAACAGAGGAGATCAAAACTGTTTCCAGCCACTAGATTTCTCCATCATGATCTCTGATAATTTATATCCCCTCATAACGTTGTAATCCCATCCCCTGAATCCCCTGTCAATTTGTTTTTACACCCCCAATATGGAAATATGGGTTTTGTCCACTACTAAACCATGGTGTAATATGAACTGGATGGGATGAATATGGATGAAGATCTCGCCAAATCCACTCTGGTAATAAATCCAGTCACGACTGGATGTGTCAAGCCTGCAGGCTCGAGGATCTTCGAAAGTCTTCAGAGGTGCAGAAGTGGTGACCCTGTAAGATCACTGTCTTGGTGGGGAAAAGTCGGGAAACCACGGATTTTACCCAGCCATTTTGAAGTAACGTAGGATTTCCTGTTTTTTTTCCTTCAGTTGAATTGAACAGCCACTCTTAGCACTGTTTTTCCCGGTTTTCATTTGGAATTTTCTAGCCGATTCCAGGAGCAACCATTCACATACCAGATTGGTCTCTGAATCCAGGACGGATGCCCAATAGAGGGGTTTACTGATGCCTTATTGGCCTTATTGCTTTACTCCCCCTTGATCCCCAGATGGGTACACATCAAACAAGGGGGATTTGGGGTCAGATCCACCTCCCATTTGTACCCGTTTGTTGGTCAAGTCACGGCACATTTTTCTTCCGTATTTTGCACCCAAGAAATGGGAGTAGCCGGCCTGGCAAAGATACAAAAAGCTATTGAAAATGGCCATTGAAATAGTGGATTTACCCATTAATAGCATGGTGATTTTTCCATAGTTATGTAACAGTTTACCAGAGGGTAACCAACGTGAACAAATGGGGCAAAATTGCCAGGTCGAAGTGCTCGAGCCCGGGGCTTCAGAGCGGGGTGGAATCCCATGGTGAACTTGGGAGACCTGGACGACGTCAAAAAAGTTGGTCAAAAGATTGGAAAACAGGGCTTTGGTACCTGAAAACGTGGGAAAATGGGCCAATTACCCTTAAGTTATCATCATTTTTACCATTGAAACTGGAGTTTTTTTGGGGGATGTGGGATGAACATCCATTTTCTAGATTCTTAGATGTTTTGGGGATCAGGGTATCAGGGTATCAGGACCCATAGCCAGCTGAGTTTCCCTATTACATTTGCCATAAATTTTATGTAATTTCATAAATTGTCAAATTGGGGTATACACTATACAGTCCGGTACATAACCTGTTGTTGCTGAAAAAATCAAGAGCTTGAATATTGGTGACATTGGTGACCCCCAAAAAAGGTCACAGGCATGGATCTGGTCACAATTTTCCCAGCTATGGATAAATTTTTATAAACATTATTATTGATTATATAATATTATATATATTATATATTATATATATTATATATATTATATATATATTATATGTGTATATAATATGAAATCTTCAAGAGGACACGAAGCTTCATCCCCACGATTTCTATTTAGCTTTCCCACATGGGCCAAAATTTAAGACCCAGGGGGGTACCATGAGATTCCGTGACTCGGTCGTGAGCCTTGCGTGAGCCTTGCAGGTGCAAAGAGCAGCTCAAGCTTTTAGAACAGAAAATCGTAGAAGGCCGGTCTGTTAGGATGACAGAAATTGGTAACATGATGGCCATGATGGGTATTTGTTGGTAATAATGGTGATATAATGGGACATAATATATATATACATAATATATATATACATAATATATATATATATATACATAATATATATATAATATTATATATATATATAATATAATATAATATATATATATAATATTATATATATATAATATTATATATATAATATAATATATATATAATATTATATATATAATATAATATATATATATATTCTATTATATATATATTATATTATACTTATAATTATATATATATATATTAGATATATATATATATATTATATATATAGATAGATAGATAGATAGATAGATAGATTAATTAGATTAGATTAGATTAGATTAGATTAGACTAGATTAGATTAGATAGATAGATAGATAGATAGGTAGGTAGGTAGATAGACATATATATATAAATCATAATTTAATTAGGAACAAATGGGGGAATTATGATGGGCATATTTGGGGATTACTCCCAATCGATGGGTAAATCGGTGATAATCCTATCCCTCGATCCGAAAAAAAGCACCACGGTTTCTGGGGGGTGTTTTAATATGAACGGCTGGGATAAAGTGGTATATAGATGTATATAGTATATAGCTGGGAATATTGGGAGATCTCACGGGATGTCCGGTTTTTCGGGAATCTGCACTCTGGTGACGAAGATTGGGCACCTGGTGACCCTGGTCATGGGGAGATCATGGGGAAATATACAGTACTATCTAGAAGATTTTTGCGCCTGAAAATGGAGTAGGACTTCAATTTATGGCACGATTGTTGGGACAAGTGCTGGATCCAGTTAAGATGCTTGAACTGAAGGTGCACAGAAAAAAAGCTTGGGTTTTACCATTCAATTTTGTTTGGGGAGTTTTGTACAAATTACCTTGAGAATTATTGTTTCAACATGGGGGCGACCTCCGCCCTTGTGTTTTTTGCGTACTGAAATGACTCCCTTGAGATCATTTTCCAGTGGTTTATCAAGGTAATTGATGGAACATCCACTTATCAATGGATAATCAAGATCAATATGGCCCCTAAAATATGGATTGTCCTCTGGTAAACTAACATAGCTATTGAAAATTGCCATAGAAATAGTGGATTTACCCATTGAAAATAGTGATTTTCCAGTTCGCTATGTTAGTTTACCAGAGGGTATCCATTGATCCATTGATTTTCCCGTGGGTTTTCAGGAGGCCCAGCCGATGCGGAGGACTGGATCTCACCTGGGCGGGATGGATCGTGCAAGTGCAAGCCGCGTGTTCTCCTTTTTTTACTGGAAAACATAGCCCTGAGCCACCAAACAAATGTACGGTATACCAGTATCACCGATATAAACACTATGTACATATATATATATAATTATACATATTAATGTATACACGTGTATGTATCAGTTTGCATAAATCTCAAGGATCCGACGGTTGGAACGGACCAAAGTTCCAGGATCTCAAGGTCCGATCGCAGGTGCAACAGCAGGCCATCGGGAGCCGTGGGTAACATTTTGATTTCACCAACCAGAGGTGACGTGAGCCTGATTCATGATATAGGCAAAATATAAATATATATATATATATGTACGACAAGTACAGTATCTATCCGATCTATCTTGATATGTACTATGTACCGTATTCATGTCTTATTTTGGACAACCTGCTTTTTTCTAGGTTTTTGGTTCCCAAGGTATACATACAAGTGCATACTCATATGTACAAATACATCCACAAATATATACACATACATACACATACACAGACACATACATATTCAATTCACATACATACATGCATTACGTTGATTGCGTTGCGCTGCGCTGTGTTACGTTGCATTCCATTCCATTCCGTTCGGTTTCATTGCATTCATACATTACGCACATACCTATGTACCTCCATACGTCCGTGCGTACGTACGTACGTACTTACACATAGGCATACACATACGTACGTACGTACAGATAGGCATACACATACATACATATATACATTTAAGTTGATGTATTAGTATATATATATGTATGTATGTAATGTAATGTAATGTAATGTAATGTAATGTAATGTAATGTAATGTAATGTAATGTAATGTATGTATGTATGTATACAAACGTTACACACATATATATATATACATACATACATCCAGGTATAGATACATACATCATTCACCCGTATAAATGCTTTTCTACGCATATAAACACATATACATGTACGTATATATATATATATATTTATGTATTTAACATTTGGATATATATATATATATACATAGCGGTATTTCTGTGTGTAGATCTACATATACATATCTACATGTAAATAGATGACCAATAAAATTGTATATATATAATATATATATATGATATATATATGATATATAATATATTTGATATGATATATATATGATAGATAATACATATGATATAATATAATATATATATGATATATAGTATAAATGATGTATAAGATATATGGTAGATAATATATATGATATATGTAATATATCTGATATATAATATATCAGATATATAATATATCTGATACATAAAATTATATCTGATGGCAGTTTATGACAGTTACACATATGCCACCACTCAATTTGAACATCTCTTTGTGAACCTCTCCATGTGAAGTGACAATTCTACATTTCAAACCTTCTTGCAATGCTACTTGATAGTTTGATGACCTGTTACTGATTCTGGATAATAAAAGCGTAGCCTGAAGTGAGAGCTATGATTGTACAGCGGTAGTTTCCTTTTAGTTTTCCTGTTGTCCATAGATTCTTCCGTTTCGTTTTGAACCTTGTTCACACAGCAGGACCTAGGGCCAACGGCCGCGTGCGTTCAGCAAAGGTGGCTTAGGCTAAAAAAAAAATATATATAATATATATGATATATATGACATAATATATATATGATATATATATAATATGATATAATATATATATAATATATATAATATGATATATAATGTATATGATATATATATATATATATATACATATGATATAATATATATGATATATATAATGCATGTAATATCATATAATATAATGTAATATATAATATAATGTAATATATAATATAATGTAATTTATAATATAATGTAATATATAATATAATGTAATATATAATATAATGTAATATATAATATAATGTAATATACAATATGATATAATATAATATAATATAACATAATATAATATACTGTAATATAATATAATATAATGTAATATAATGTAATATAAAACAATATAGAATAATAATAATAATATATTAATAATAATATATATATATGTATATTACACATATATATACATACATGTAATATATAATATAATATAACATAATATCATATAATGTAATGTAATGTAATATAGTATAATATAATATAATATAGTATAATGTAATATAATAATATCATATAATGTAATGCAATATCATGTAATATGATATAATATAAAATAACATAATATAACAATATATATACATCACACACACATATATATATAGATGTAATATATACATTTTACAATATAATGCAATGTAATGTAATGTGATAGAATATAATATAATATAACAATACAATGTAATAACATAATAATGCAATAATATAATAATATAATCATATAATACTATAATTATAATATAATAATGTGCTAATATAATATAATATAATAATATAATACTATAATATATGTATATATATGTAGTATTATATATATATAAATTACACGCAACATTTTTTTTACACACTGTTTTTGTGCATAGATGCGCAACATCACATGGGTAATTGGGATAGAAAAACGCGACCGTGGGTTAGCGTGGAGGTGCAAGACCTGGGTCTTCAACTTTCGAAGGAAGTTGCCAATCTCGTGGGGTTCCTGGTGGATGACCCAAAAGATTGGCGAAAATAAAAACCCCATTGGATTGACGAAAATCGGAAACGGGCATCACATGGGTAATTGGGATAGTCACTATGATATTCTATCCATGGTTTTTTAAATGTGAAATGAGGATGCCTCAAAATCGCCATTGAACATGGGGAATGTGATTTCTAAATAGTGGGATCTATATAATGGGGTTGCAATTTTTTGAGACAACCCCATGTGAATCCACACAAACTGGAATCAACTTCCAGAAACTGGGAATTACCCCCGATCGTGCCAAAAAGGGAGGTTTCTGGATAAACTACAGTTTGCTGGTCTGTCATTGTATCAAGGCGATTGGTACCCTTGTGAGGAGATACAAAACCCACCTGTGTTCATGCACACCAGGCCCCAACTTTGGAGCGTCTACTGCTGAAAACATCTGTTTTGATTGACCATCCCCATCTCCACATAGGTTTGCCCAGAAATTGGGCCCAAAACTGCAGTTTTTTTAAGAAAATGAGGTTTGAAACCATGGGCTGGCGGCTCCAAAATTATTGAGACGCCAATGATGCGGCTCCACCTGGTTTTGCTTGAAAATCCTGGAATCCCCAATAGTTTTTCTAAGTGGTTGGCAATTTGGGTTATGAAAAGCACCAAATGCAGATGTTTTCCATGTGATTCTGCATTATCCAAGAATTACGGACACCACGAAAAAGGATAGAGACATGATTTGATGTTGTTGTAATCACTGATTTTACTGCTACACATGTTTTTTTTCCCCACCTGCCCGGTGAGGGTCTCTGATTTTATCAGAGTTACTTCCTCCTTCCTTCCTTCATTCCTCCTCACCCCAACAGCGAACTCCAGATCTCAGTGGGCACTGCTGGACCTCAACAGCGAGCTCCAGATCTCAGTGGGCACTGCCGGACCTCAGCCAGATGCCAGAAAGAATGTCAGATAGAATGCCAGAAAGAATGTCAGAGAAAATGTTAGAACAGATGCCAGAAAGAATGCCTAAAAAGATGCGAGGTAGAATGTCAGAATAGATGCCAGATAGAACGTCAGATAGAATGTCAAAGTATATGTCAGAAAGAACGTCAGAATAAATGTCAGATAGAATGTCAGAATAAATATGCCATATATACTTCCAGATGGTTTTTCAGAAACATGTCAGAATAGTGTTTCAGGGTGCGGATCACGCGAAGAAAGAATTTTTTGAACATCTCTTGCCGGTTGCTAGAATTATCGATTATATATAATCATCCACAATAACATGTATCTTATCATTTCATCAATTTATCATCAATATTCCAACTATCCATGAATACGTAATCCATGGGTTTGTTTTATCCAGCTATTACTTGGATTTGCTAAGTCGGTGATCTCTGATTTTCCCATTAGTAAATGCACCATCTGGGGAACCTACTAGAAATAACTTATCCAATTTTTCCCTTGGATACCCCAAGTAATTTTTCTTTGTAATTGCTCGTGGTCCAGCTATCCCATTCTTTTGGGATAGCCGTGACCTGGGCCGAGGCAGAACAGCAACGAGACATCATCGAGACAAGGACGAGCCTGGAGGACCGGTGATGCGACCGGTGATGGTTAGTGATTGTGAACAGTGGTAGCAATGGCCTCCACTGGTTAAGAATGATATTGATCCTGACATGGATAATGCTTCATGATGACGGTTGTTGTTTGTTCGAATAGATTACATCACAGGCAGCATAACCCCCCCGGCAAAACCCCCCCGGAAGCGCTGCTAAGATTTGGTTTCAAAATCGCCATTTTTTTTAACCCACATCAGTTTGAACAAACATAAAATAGCTGAGCTTGGTTGCTCATTGCAACTCTCGGAACCAGAAACAGAAACCTTTCAAATTCTGTCAAACTGCCATATTTTGTCAAAACGCACATGCGCAGTGTCAGAAATCAGAGTTCCTTAATAAACTGTTATTAAGGTTGTGTGATTTATTGGTGCGAAAATTGGTTTTGGAATGCTTTATTCTTATTAAAGGTTTAATACTGTTTTTTTTCTTGTTGGTTGGACAACAGTCCCCAAAACATTCCCAAAACAATGTTTTTCTTAATAAGGCTCTAACAGTGAAATTTCAATTTCATTGATAAAAACCATCTCTTATCAAGACCTTATCCAGCCCTTAACCACACATCGCTAATAAGCCTTTATTAACAATGTGTTACACCACTGATTGGCCCTTATCCATTGTTTCATCCTTATCCATACCTTACCATACTTCTGGGGGGCCTGGGGGGGGTTTTGCTGGGGGGGGTCGTGGGCCCTGTGATTACATCAGCAATGGCCCAGTTCCCTTAATAAGGCTGAAGTATATTACCGGATGACCGGAGGGTTCATATTGATGGACTAATCTGGCGAGAATGGCATATTGTTGGATGCAATTTTTTGAATGGTGAGAGAGTTTTTCCTGGGCTGGAGTGGTGGAAGTGGCAATCAACTCCGCTTGATTGTTTGGTTTCGAAACCGCAAAAAAACTCACTGACTGTCAACGGTCACTGGAACTACACATGGGTCACATGGTCTCTCTGAACATGAGGGATACGTCCAAATGGCCATCAACAATGGCGAAACTGATTCATTTCTTTCCGACAATTTTCAGACAATCCCCATGGTACTATAGGAAAACCCGCTAGTAGTCAAGGCAGGTGTGCTTGGAACCGTCCGAGCACCCTATCTGATGGTCAAAATAATGCTTAGTGAGGGAAACCGTTCCGAACTGATCTTATTTCAGGTTGGCAAACCATTATAATCTATCCATCAGTATGCTTGAAAGCAAGAGAAACTTTGCAGAAATTGAAAAGTAGCAGCACAGCCCTGACTTAAAATGGGGATAGATCAACACCTATTACTCCATTTTTTTGGGGAGAAACGTCCAACAGGTTACCTGGTTTGTTCACCAGGCCTTGGGTTCGACCCAGATCCGAAGATTCGGGGTTCGGTGTCAGCTGCAGGATTTGACCAAGCAGTTTGATGACAATTTGCTCAAGGAGACAAACAAGCTGCGAAATGAGCTTGGTGGTCTGGTTGGGGCCTGAGAAACCACTTGAAAAATCACCGCATTCCATTTGGGATGGCTCGACATTACCCTTGACACCATGGGTGTTACTGGTTTTGAGATAATTCTTGTATCTTTGAGTTGAAGACCATCCTATTTTTTTGGGTACCCCTTCTGCAAGATCCATCAAAGTGCTGAATTTTCTAGGGTGAACGGAGGTGTATCAGCTAGTAAGTGGGATGATTTCTCCTTATGCTGCCTTATGATATCTCCCAACTGTTGGCTTCGGTGTTAAATTTAGGGGGTCCCGTTTACTGTCCCTTCGGCCCGGCAAGAACCATCCAACAGATCCAGGGGTTTGGACCTGAAAATTGGGTCACCCCAAATCCAGTGGTTCACCATGATCGACCATGATTTATATACCCATATTTTGTCATTCAAATTGCATTCATGACGCGTGAACCAAAAAAGGGGCCGTCAGCACTCTTTTTTGCAGACAAAGCCCAAGATCATATGAGCTACAAGCAAAATTTAGCGTAATGGAAAGTAGTATTCGAGACATCTTGAGCTGGGGCTTGGAAAACGATAATACACTCTTCAAAAAACGATAACATTTGCTATATCTATATTCCCAAAACTTGAAAAACGATAATACACTCTTCAAAGTTTGATGACTTGGAGCTATATACTAAATATTGACCGTGGCCCATATGGTTGGTGAATTAAATGATATCCCATTGGATCCTCATTACATCTCCTGTATATTTGTAGTGATTCATTCCAATTGTATAATCCCAAAAATATATATCAGATGATATCACCGTTGTATCCCCAATATTCCCACGATATTTCCGCTTAAATATACCATGTTTTGATCCGTAGCCATAGCAGCCGGATGCAGCCTGGTCATGGGTCCAATGGGTGGTTTTTGGTCGTCGCCTTGCACAGGTGAGCTCCACTGCATCAGCGGCGTCCAATACCAAGGAGGAATCCTTGGGAAAAGGTGGTTTTTCAGATGTGGCAGTGGGTCAAAACCCTAGTACCTAGTGAACCCCAAAATAGCTGGTAAATGGATGTTCATCCCACTAAAAATGTATCTATAGGTATTGACCCATACCCATGTGTTAATCAGAATAAGTGGGATTGAACAGGGGTTGGTAAATGTACTAAGAAAAGTCACATCACCCAACTATTGGGGGATATAATATGATATAATCTCCAACAGATAGCTTTTTCAGGCGATGTTCAAAATCCATCAACACAGGACGTTTACCAATCCCTGAATGTGGATTAGTCGGAGAATGGGGGATTGACCTTCCAGGTGGCCATCAACTAATAGGCGAAAAGGGACCCTAGGACAAAAGACGATCGACCAGGGAATTTGGGGGTGTACCTAGTTGGGTTTCACCATGAAAAGTGAGGCTTTAACATGGTTTAACATGGTTTTTACCATCCTGAAATGGGGGTTAATATATAATAATATATATATCATTCATATATCCAGCAAAGCCCCGATATGGTCCCCCAAACTAGATGCAACGCTGACTAAGCAGGATGGGATCATTGGCACAAGACTGGCTGTAGAGACCATGTAGTGATTGATGCAATACTTGACGCTCTACGTCCGGATGATGATCAGAATCTATCAGAATCTATCAGAATCTATCAGAATCTATCAGAATGTGGTTTCTTTCTTGCTGTCAGGATGGGATTTTTCCTGGAACACTCACCAATGGCCATTTCAGGATCCAGGTACCTACCATATATAAGGCCTACTATATATTGGATTTCCCATTGAACTCACCAATAAAAAAATCCCCCCATTTGTTGCTGGTCAGTCCCTGGTCATCGGCGGTTTTTCCAGATGACCTTCGCAGCACCAGGAGCTGCAAAGCATGCGGCAGGATGTGACCAAACTGGTAGGTTGGCCTAGTTGTGGTACCCGGCCTGGTAAACTAACATAGCGAACTGGAAAATCACCATTTTATAGCTGGGAAAATCCATTATAAATGGTCATTTTCAATAGCTATGTTAAATTACCAGAGGGTAGGTCGGCAGCCCCGTCTGAAAAACCGGGGGGGGCCGACTGGGGCAACTGGGGATGGTCGACCTTTGATATCTTGGATGATCCTGGGGATGGATGCGTTCTTGTTGGGTTGCTGGCTAACATGGCCGCCATGGAGAAATTCATCTGGAATTCCAGAGCTGATGTCTCAGGTGGAACGCATCACTTCGACGGAGTCAGTCTCTTCCGAAATAAAGAAGGACATCTGGCGCTATCTGCAGGAAGTATCGTACTGCAAGACAGGCAATGCACACTTTCTGTTTTGAGGAGGTGTGCGCACGATAAATCGAACAAAAGAACCTTATATATGAATATATCACTACCTCACACATGACATATATTACATCGCGAACACGTATGCGGCATGTGCACATGGAGAAGGATGACCGTATCATTGAACTTACCCTATCTGCAGCAGCCGAAGCCGAACATGACCGCTTCGAAGATTTCTTCCGGTTGAACGTCGTTTCCCACGGAGAAAGCCAACTACTAGCTAGATCTAGCTAGGTTTTACACTAACTGCGGCTGGGTCCGTCCTCCATGCATTCACCATCCAGCAATGTTTGGAACGTCATAGCAACCTCGAAATCTTTCGGTATTTTAAATTTTTGCAAGTCAAAATTTGGATAATTTTGGTAACAAAGGTGATATGACACCATAAGTCATCATAAGTCGTCCAACAAACAAGGTAACCTAAGTGATCTCGAGATTCTGTCAGGATTTGGAGGACCTTTTAGGTCCTCGGAATAAGATCGGTATCAGCCAGGATCCAAGGGCCAGGGGAGTCGACGTTTCCTGGGACGACTTTAACTTCGAGATTCCTTTTGAGGTTGATGTGGATCAATTTTCCGGAATCCATCATATTTATACATATATTTATATATATGATATAATTATGTATATAATATGTATAATGATATATATATATAATATACATATATATATATATACATATATACACATATATATATATATATTTATTTATATGTTATTATGGTACTATATAACACGATATTTTGGAGCCAAGGCACTGCTGGCGCTGGCCCAGAGTCTCCCTTGGACGAGGTCATCATGCGGCAAGGAGAGATTTCATTCTTGGAAGAAATGACATCTTTGAAATACTGCTTGGCGTTAAGGTCTTGAATTTGGTTAAACTGGAAACAGCTTAAACAGCTAAATAGTTTTTATCTGTAGTTTTTTTCTTGGATCAGGATCTATGAATGGGCTATTTGAAGCCATATTTCGTTGGGATTTCGGCAAAGAATGGGGACTCAACCAGCCAGGTGCGAGGTCGTCTGGACATCCTCTCCGAACAGGTTGGGGTGCACAGCGAGTAGCTGGTCACTTTTGGTGATGTTTTTTGGCAGCAGAAATGCCACAAATTGATGGTCCCTTTGATACCCCCTTAATTTTTACCCAGAACAACAAAGTAGAACCAAAACACGACATAACAAAAAGGCTTGGTGATTGGTGGTTGCAAGTACTCCAATCTCCTTATTTCCATGGCTTTTCAGCCGCATGAGCGGCAGGTAGCGGAGCTCCAGAGCAAGTCGGAAGCCCAAGGGGTTGCAATTTCTGTACACAAAAAGCCTTAGAGGTCCAGATGTGGAGACGATTTGTCAATGTATTCTGTATCTAATTATTCATATATACTTATATGATCTTATATATACATACATATGATATATTACATATGATATATACATTTGATGTATATATATATATACATTATATTATATATATACATACACACATATATTAACAATTATTAATGTGTTTACAGAAAAACACACATACATATACATGTGTGGGTTTATCTGAAACTTGGGTACCTTAAAATCCACTGACAAATCATGATTTTCCCGCATTAATGGCTATAATTGGTGCCATACAGTACCCCATTTTCAGACAGACACGTGTGGGTCAAACTTATTTAACCGCTAAAGATGGATGGTCTTAAGACTAAGACTGCTTGTCCATTTGTGAGTCAGATGGGAACGGACGGGTATCAGAAGATTTTCGGGAATACAGGATGCAAACAGTTTGTTCCGCACTAGTGTGCCTTCATTTTTCTCTCTCCACACAGCTTCTCCAGTGACTTGGGTGGTTTTTTTTTGCTTGTATCGCTGACAGCTGTATTGAATGAAAATAGCTTGATTTGGACCCATGGTTTGACGAGACTGGAAACCTGGAACAGGCAGAAAATATCTCCTCTAACAGGGAATTTTTCGAAGTTTATTGAAAATGGCCATAGAAATAGTGAGTTTTCCCACTAAAATTGGTGATTTTCCATAGTTATGTTAGTTTACCAGAGGATACGCCCCATTTTCTAACCATGTGGCAATTTCCAATAGGATATCATCTTCCAGACCCAATTTCTATCACCGACCTACCAACGAGTGAGGCAAGAGAGCGGCTTTGGCCAGCCCACTGTGACGGTCCGGGCCTCGACGGAGGAATTTTGGGGTACTGTACCCCCCAGCATTTTGGACAAATCCATATTAATCCGATGGGTTTTGTAACCTATCAGATCCCATGAATATGTGTACGTATACATATAATTATACATATATACATATTATATATATTATATTATATATACATATTTTGTATATATATATATGTATGCATATTATATATGTATATATGATGAGTATATACATATATATGTATATAATACAATCAAAATATATATTTGGGTGTATGGATCCATTTCTTTGCAAATTTCCTGCATGTTTGGACAGGCTCGCGATGTCACTGAGGTGGTGAACTCTGGCCATGGGCGTCATGATACAGCGCCTCGGCTCGTGACCCACTGTTCCTGGAACGTCTGGTTGCTGCACCTGGGAGCTTTCAAATGGGTCTCTCTGAAAATGGGGTAAAAAATGTTCTAAATTGCAATTTTTCATGGAGAAAATGATGACTAACCAACGGATTTAGAGGTAATTACCATATTTTCATACAAACTCAAATGGCTATGGGTCAAAAGCCTGGTACTTAGTGAACCCAAAAATAGATGGTAAATGAATGTTCATCCCATTCCAATTGATAATAATGGGATTTTGACCCACTCCCAAATATAGCCAAGTCCCAAACAGATAAACTGGCATGTGACATACCTCTCATTTACGGCAATTTTGAAAGGACCATGATGATGGTTTTTATATCTAAAAATGTGCGGAATATAGTGGGCATGGGAATATCATGGGGAGTTTTTACCTAGCATTTTATGGGGATATAATGAATATATATATATATATAATATAATATACTATAATATAATATAATATAATACAATATATATAATAAGCAAAAAGGACCAACAATATGAGGATACAACGGACACCAAATTGGGGATACGATCGATTTTTCTCAGGATGATCGAAGCATCCAGGCGTCCAAGGGTTTGGAGGTTTAACCTCGGCCGCATCAATAGAAAACCATAGAAAACCATAGAAAACCATAGAAAATCATGGATTATGTATGATTATAATCCATTGGAGGGTAAGCTCATTTTCAGAGAAACCGAAGTTTAGTAAGATCCTGATAAACCAACACTTGCTGGTGTAAATCCAGTTCATTGCATTCTTTCTCAGGTGACCTGTAAATCTTTCGATGGTTTGACATGTTTGGAACGTATTTTCCACCTGATTTGGAACGATTTTGGATGGGCGATCCTCGTTTTCCGACATGGGAGAATCCCCATTTTTCGGGGACCTACTAACTATTAGGTCACGGGTCCATGAGTCGCCTGGTTACGAAACCATCATTTAGGTATTTTGCCTATTGGAAATCAGACGTCAGGCAAAGGTGGCAATTTTTCACCATCCTGAAAACTAACGCCGCTACAATGTTTTTCCTTGCAACTTTGCCAGTTGTTTTAAGAACTGTGCTGGGCTCGGCCATTTCAGCGAATTGCGCCAGCAAGCGTAACATAACACTTGCGACCAAAAGCGTAGCACGACGTGTTGCGTGCAAGATGATGCGGCAGCCTGCAAGCGTAACATAAAAATAGGTAACAAAAAAAAAGTCCAAGCGAACGCAGCAAAAGGAACGTTATTACGCCCCCCACACCCACCCCCCCCAACCCCCACCCCCCCCCCCCAACCCCCCCCACCCCCCCCAGCAACAGCGTAGCACGACGTGTTGCGTAAAGATGATGCAGCAGCGTGCAAGCGTAGCATGACGTCTTGCGTGCAAGATGATGCGGCAGCGTGCAAGCGTAACACACTTGCGACCAAAAGCGTGCATGATTGCAAGCGCAAAATAGGTAACAAAAAAAAGCCAAGCGAACGCAGCAAAAGGAACGTTATTTACCCCCCCAGCCACCCCCACCCACCACCCCCCAACCCCCACCCACCCCCCGCCAACCTCCCCCACCCCCCAAAACAAAGAAAAAGGCCAGGCGACCTGTGGACCCGCCAGCAACTATTACACCAACTTATGGAGATTAACGGTGGGTAATTTCTAACGGTGTTTTTGTGGGGTATACAAAAACCTACCATCCTACTCAACCTACTCACCTAAATTTTTCTTGGGGTCACTTTATTAGCCACTTACCTTTTTGGAGGATCATCGTGCGTTGCCACGGGTGCCACGGCCTAGGCCAGTGCAGATGGAAGTTTTGGCCTGAGAATCACCGTGACTATGGGAATCCCTACGAAACGGCCATGGCTCCATAGAAATGGATAAAAAAACCATGCTATTCTGATGGTTGAGACCCCTTGTGCCCCAATCTCTCAATGGGCAAACTAAGTAAATCTCGATTTTTGCTATATATATATACACAGTATATATAATATATATATATACTATATATATATACACATTGAGTCAGTCGATCAGTTTTTCTAATCAATTTTCTATCCATTTTTGATAAACTGACGAAAGCTTTGATGGTCAAATCCGGTTTTCTATTCGTTTCCCTGGCCCATCGCAGTGGCTTCGCCGAGGCCTGAACTTTTCTCTCACGGAGCAGACAGAGCGACCAGGTGGGGGGACAATTCATCCATCCCTACAGGATATTGTGAGGTGATACGATGTTGTATTGTATGATACCCGGCCTGGTAAACGTTTACATAGTGGAAAATCACCATGCTATTAATGGGTAAATCCACTATTTCTATGGCAAATTTCAATAGCTATGTTAGTTTACCAGAGGGTATGATATGGTATGATGTGATTTGATCAAAGGAAGTTTAGATGAGAAACTTTCGAGAAGTAGACAAATTGTCAATGCACAATTTACATTCACCACTCAGCAAGTCATATAATGAGAAACTGTCACTTCGCTGGTTAACTCACTAGCGATAAATATATATATAATATAGATATAATAGTAATTCCCAAAAAGATAGAAACGTGTTTCCAGGATGGTATGATATTTACCTCATATCTCCAGATGTCCAATTTTTCCATTGCTTTGTGGACCACTGGAGGAGCTCCGGATGGTAGCCTGAATTTCTCCCTCACGGAGACGATCGCGAAGGCGGTGGTCAGTCGACCAGTCGACCAGGGCGAAGGGTTGCGGAGATAGGGATATATATATATACAGTATACCATATAATATCATACCATATATATATATATATATCTATCTATCTACCCTCTGGTAAACTAACATAGCTATTGAACATTGCCATTCATAGTCTATATACCTATTAAATATGGTGAGTTTCCAGTTCGCTATGTTAAATTACCAGAGGGTATATATAGGCAATAGGGCAATAGGGATAAATGGGGGATACGGGATAATTAATATAAGGGATTATCTAACAGGTATTGTGTGAACCAGTAGAATATCTGGGATATAGCACTAACATATTGCCTTTTTCAGAAAATGTGTGAATGTACTTGGGGTTGTACAAAAAAATAGGGATATCCCAATTTATAGAACTGGGTTCTCCATGTGGTTTTACACCTTTTTGGGTTCTTGGGGTACTCCATTTCCAGAGCCGAATGAGATCTGGCCGATGGCGCCTTGATGGGTTTGTTCTCCAACTTCGGGGGCCCTGTGGCAGGCCTTGTTTTCGCCTCATCAGAAAATTGCAGATTCTACATAGTGATGTTTTGTAACATGTATGGAATGGGCTACCTGACCAGAAACTGGATCATTGCTTCATGTTCCCAGATTTTGCCTAATCTTGCGCCAAGACATGCTAAGACATGCCAATTAAGACATGCTAAGACATGCCAATTAAGACATGCTAAAGACATGCTAAAGACATGCTAAGACATGAGAGATGCTAGAAAGAAAAAGCAGGAATCCGCAGATCAGAGTTTTTGAACAACAGGGGTTTCTGTTGGATTTTTCCAACAGTGATATTCTTGGACAAAAACGACACCTGGAAGGGGCAACTTTTGTTTCGCCATTTTGTAGAAACGGCTTATTTGCTAGTTTTCAATGATCCTTGTTTCCTATTTGTAGCGAGTACCCATTTTTGGGTCCCATGTAAAATTTACTTCGTAATTAGTACATTTGGTGGCACCTTTTTGGGTGGACTTATATTCTGTAGACCCCTTTTCTCTAAAAAATCACCTGCTCCCAGCCACACCCTAAACGAGCAAGGGAATTAATTGTGTGCGCACCTGAAGTTCTTTCATACAACGCTGAGTCAATGCAGGAAGCGAAATGAGCTTTACCGGCGATACCCATTTGTTCAAAAAGCGGCCCCAGACCACGGATAGGGACCCCCAAGAAGCGATACCTTTGAACCTACCGAAGACAATGAGGTTCGACAATGGCTCACACATACATAAACAATCATAAACATATTTATATATATATATATCTATATATACATATTACATATATACACATAAACCATTTTTGCCATGAATTCATCTTGATTTTTGTTCCTGGTTCCAGCATCGCTTTTTCCTGATTTTACGAAGTTTGTGGAAATTGATTTTGCATACATAGACACATACATGCGTACATAAATACGTGCATACGCACATGCATGAATACACAGGGATATAATGGGATGTTTTGAGGGGTGACTCATTATTGTTTTAAAATGCTTTTAATGTATTTACATCTGGTCAGCGCCCTAATCCTGAATATGGGGGTTCTGGGGGGGGGGCGGTGACCATATATATATATATATACACACACACACACAAAGATGTCTAACCTTCCTCCCCCAAAGAACTACCCAAGCTGAACACAAGGAACTCCCTAGCGCCCTTGAGCGCCGAGCGCCGAAGCTCTACATCAATGCAGAGGCCCGGGGATGCAATTTGCGCGTTCAATGGGACAATTGGTACAATGATTATTTAAGTAGAGACAAGTATGATTAATCGTTATTGTATTGATTTGTATTGTAGTGTATTATGTTATATTGTGTTATACTATATGATATGATACGATATGATATGATATGTCTCTATTATATCCCCGCAGTATCCCTCTTGTATCATCTCCTCATTTTGCCCAGATCGGGACATGCCTTGGCAGCTCCACAAGTCCTCCAGGCTGACTCGGACGCGGATGCTGACATCCTGTCAGCCAGTGATTCTCCAGCCAGCGCGGTGGGGACACCTGAAAGCTTGGGGGTGCCACCTAAGTCCTAGGTTTAGTGGTTAACATGTACTGTACCCCGAGTAACTGGGGATCTTCTATACATAACTGTGTTTTAAGATAAGTGATTCTTTACCCCCCTGGGATGGACCGAATGTGGTCCATCACATTGGGGATGAACATGGATCCCAGCTATATTGGCGTGATAGGGTGGGTCGTGACCCGTACAAATTGAATGTCAACTGGTAGGTGAAACCTGGAACCCAGACAACCACTGTTTCAATACTTGTCATATTTCTTGTCTTTATTTGGGTATGGATCAATACCTATACATACCATTTTTAGTGGGATGAACATCCATAAATCCCAGCTATTTTGATGTGAACTACAGGGGTACTATTGGTTTTGACCCACTGCCATTTTTCTTTCGAAGGTTACGAGGCAAGTCAAGGTTTCCCTGTCGGGAAAATCGGAAAATGCTGGCCTTTGAGGCTGGGAAAATAGCACAAGCAGGCGACGTTGGGTTGTCCTTTGCTGCAGGTGACTATTGGAAGCTCTGGGCCTCCCCCAAGAATGCCCTATGGTCTATACACCTTGGCTACATCAGGTGTTGTATCCCCGTTCCGGATACCTCATTTTATTTAGGTCCCTTTAACGAGAACATGGCGATAGCTTATGATTATGATGTGATTTCGGAGAATCCTCTTTTCTAGCAACACCCAAACAAGATAGAGCACTATTTTGCCACTATTTTATATGAATATTTTACGAACTTCGCGGCAAAGATGGCAGCAAAATCCCCATTGAATCTGGGTCGGTGATTTCCCAGCCGTGTTTGATTAGCCGTTGATTAGTCATGTTATATCCCTTTCATATTCCAACATTCATATCCCATGACTATAGCTATATTACCAGTTATATCATGTTATATCCCATTCATATTCCATTCGTGTCCCACTAAGCCTGGTCAGGCTTCAGCAGCCAGAAGGAGGCGGAGGATGATGCAGCTTGGCGTCCCGCGGGAGCCGCGGGACATGGATAGATTCCCAGCCACAAAAGGATGGACATGTGGCTTTGATTGGGTTTGTTAAGAACATAGGGCCTAAATCCAGTGGTTTATCATCATCTCTTTTAAAATTGCCATTTGGGGGTATATCCAATTTTCAGACACAAGGGGTGTTCATATTCTCTATATAATATATATATATATAGATAATAGAGACCGTCTTTTTGCCATATTTTTAGATCCCATATTTGAAAGGCGATTTTATTGATTTGACACCCCCACCGAGCGATTTGACAAAACCCGGTGAAGACCTGCGAGTTGACAAAAAGGTGCCATCACCCTCGGCGGACTCTCCGAACTCTAAGAAGAAGGATGCCAGCTCCAGTCTGGGCGCCCAGCTCTGGATCGAAATGCCGCTGCCATGGGCTGTTTGTCAGAGGATTTTCCAATCTTTGGATATCTTTTGAGGGGTTCATGTTGAATTTCGGGCATTTCGACCAATTTGTGGTCATATTTTCAAGACGACGTCAGGCATAAGTGCTGATCATTCTTTTTGACCGGTCTACAGGATGGGGCCCCCCAGTTATAAGTGGGTTTATAAACCATTATAACCCCTATTAACTAGTTCGTTATATCTACCATAAAGCCACTGAAATAAGGCAACTTAGCTATCTTCGGGGCCCCATCCTGTATGATGATACAATATTTTCATCGCATCTTTGGATGCGATTCGCGGCACAAAATCGCCAAGGTCAAGTGAGCGCCTCTTTCAATGACGCCTGGCGCGGCAAGCCGTTCTGATGGTTGCATCCTTGGAGAGTTCTCACATATTTTGATGGGTTACAGCTCAATACAAACATTATATATTATATATATGTATATATATATATATATGTGGATAGTATGTATATATATATATATGTACATATGACTGAATTAGAATGACCTCACTCTCACGTCACTGGAATGATGCTTATATACTGGAATGATGGTTATATATATATATATATAATCCAGCTATATTTGTGTATATATTAACCCCAAGAAAACAGAACCGTAATTTATCATTCACTATTCAAGTATTTTTACCTTGAGATGTTGATGTTTTCCCCCAAATGTTTGGGCCGCGTTGATGATTTTTGCCATGTTCCTGGCATAGAACCGGCCCTGTTGGATGGGCATGTTGACCCCAATAGGGATGATCCCCACAAAAACAAACATCGTGAGTAATCAAGAATCAATGTAGACAGACGGAAGGTATTCCCCCCATTTATAAAGATGTCCCATTTGTTGGTAATCGCTTACTCCTGACCAGTTTGGACATAGCGAAAATGCAACATCATTTAAATTTAGGATCATCCCTCGCCAGATCTTCCATTACCACGGGACCACTTTCTGGGACCCCTTGAAGATGATAGATGGTTGATGCTTAGGTCCGCCTTTGTTTTTTTTGATTGGAATATTAGTTGAACATCCCAAGTTAGTTTTTTTCAACCGTGATTATTGTTGGTTGTTAAAGGTTTTGATCAACCAATTAGCCGATTAGTAGTTGACATTAGTCAAGAACCACCAGCAGTTTCCTAAACACATATTCATATTGACATTAGATATCCAGCATTATTAATATCAATTGATATTCCCAGCTTTTCCTCAACATATCAGAGAACCCCTATTTCTGGTTGGTTCATTTTTTCCCCCTGTCAAACACCGCATTCTTGGTTGGTTTCGGACCACCCAACCTTCAGTACTTCAGTCATTGCCATCCATCAAGATTCCATTCCGAATTCCAACATTCAGGTCAAGCTGAGATTTTCAATGAATATCTCAGATTCATATCCCTTTCGCATTCAATTTCCCAAGTGCTTTCTGAAGAATTCACACCGGACCCAGATTCCAGTAACCCCAAACTCAGTTCGTTTTTCGAGCAGAGCTTTCTCCACAAGCTCAGCTCTGATCATCATCTGATCATCATCTCATAGAATTGGATGATGGGAACATTTACAGGAAAGCCCTATATTTGATGGTAAAAACATGTAAAAACCATGGTTTCCGGTTAAGATTTTCCCAACAAAACCAATCCATTGATCATCTGATCACATCTCAGGAGATGAGTGTCATGGCGGACTACTCGGTGGAACTCTCCACGGAGCTGGACGAGAAGTGCGACTTCGTAGAGGCTGTGCGGCCTGTGCGCCGCGGCATGGCACCTTGGACGGGCCGAAAAAGGTGGTGGGGCGTGGCAAAAAGGCTGGTTCGATTTGGAAACAGAGATAGATTTGATATGATTTGATCAAGAAAAAGATGGTGATTGAGCAACATGCCAGATTTGACCAAGGAAAATGAGGATTTGAATAGGGGATTTGACTACGTAGCTAAAATGTGCAGATGTTGGGTCAACAAAAATTGGGTGGGAAGAGAAGCCGTGATGTTCACCAAATAGCCAGGAAATATCAGATGCTCTGGTCATTTTGAGTATCGAGTATGGGGTACTCAATAAACAGCCAAGATTCGATAGTATCCATATATGAAGTGCAATGAGTCCTCCAAAAAGGTGGAAACTGCAAAGATTTTCATACATGTCCCGTCCGATGCCAATTTTCCCATATGAACATTTTCGTAACATATTCACCCCTTCAGATCCTGTCTTCGGGAATTTGCACACCTCAGTCAGGTGACGCCTCCAATATTTATATTTAGAATTATTTAGATAATCTTTATGAATCTTTACATAAAAGTTCATGACTGTATGCTACTTGTATGGGCTTATTATATAACTACCATGGTTTTTTGTTGGGCCAATCTTTTTCCCAGCTTCGCTCAGCCAGCTTCGCCTGAGGCGGTGTCCAGCCCCATCCAGGAAGGAGAGGAGGAGGCAGATCCCAAGGAGGAGCCATCCCAGGTGGAGGCCAAGGTACCAGGAGCCAGCGAGAAGCCACCGGATCCGGATCTGGGCTCGACCGATTTACCAAAGCTTTCTTGTTGCCACAAGATTTGAATGATTTCACCATGGAAACATATGGAAACTAAGGGGAGATCATGATTTAATGGATATATGATATATATATATATGTAACATTATATAACTATATATAACTAACAAGGACCTGGTTGGTGGCTTGACCTCTTTTTAGAAAGACGAACACCATTTTTAACAACATGGGATGAAGATCGGCATTGACTCATGTTTTGCAGAGGGCTTGAAATCACCGACCAGATGAATATTATTTTTCATTGCTATTCTCATGATTCATTCCATATTATAGATGCTTGTCCATTACATAGATAAAGACCATGAACCTCCATCGTTTTCCATATATGTTCGATGCAACTACCAGAGGATAGACTCTTGACATTCCATATTTTAGAATAGTACTTAGGCTATATCCAGAATCTCTAATATCACATATCTAGTATGACTGATATTACGAACATTACTGTTGTTTATTGACATACCCTGGGGATTATCAATAGGCGACCTCTCAATCCCCCATGGCTTTGTCAATAGGCGACCTCTAAAAATCCATTGGTTAACCATTTTCTGGGTATACTCCATTTTCAAACAGACCCAACTAATTATGGTTGGTTATATACTGTATACAGTCTGTATATATATATATAGAAATATCCTACTATTACATCATTATATCCCTATGAAATCCCAATGAAATCCATATGAAATTCCAATTGTTGATGGTTAAAGATCCCGTAATTTCCGGCCTCAGGAGTCCCCGGCACAGATGCCCTGGACACCCTGCTGAAGCCCAAGGAGCGCCTGGCTCCGCTGGGCGCGCCGCTCGCGCCGCTGGGCGCGCCGCTGGCGCCCCTGGCACCGCTGGGAGGGGATGCCTTGGACAGTTTGATGGGGCCCAAGGCCACCTTGCTACCCAGGAACCTTGGAACAAAAGTGGAACCCAATTGGATGGGGTTGGGGCCGGTTGGGGGTTGGATTCGGAGTTTTGGAAAAGCAGCGAACACAAACTTCAGATGTATTTGAGCAATCTTGGGATATGGGTGATATGGGGATGTGGTGTTTTCCCATGATTTTGTTGCATTTTCCCCCTTTGTGAATCCAGTGAATAGGGGAACCTGGGAATTGCCCAGTAATTTTCACCCAATTCTTGGGAACCTCAATGATTTGTGTCGATCCCACATTTTCCCATTGGGATTTTCCAGGAAGTTGGATGCCTTGGATCCAAGCGTGGCCAAGACTGAAGTGAAAGTGGAGGACGCCTTGGATGGTTTTGGAGGCTTTATATAGGTCGGGGGTTGTCCGGGTTGGAGTTTTCTCTTGGCGCCTTGGGATAAGGGTCAATGGTTTAGGACATGAGTTGAGTGTGCCCTGTGAGGAGAAGGAGAAGGAGCCAAAAGAGGAGCAAAAGGAGCAAAAACTGGAGCAAAAGGAGAAGGAAGAGGAGAAGGATGACGAGGACTACGACGACAATTCCTTTGATGACAATATGTCTGTACCAGAGTCGATTCAAGAAGAGTCTGATTTGGGAAGTGACACAAGACGCACTGAAGATTCCGTGTGAAAATTAGTGATCAGAATCCCGACTGAGAAAATCCTGGTCGGACAGATCCACAGTTGCAGAGAATTCAATGTGCTTCGTACCGTAAATCAGAGCAACCATGGCATGTGAATTCTGCTGGCCCAGTCAGCCCTTCGCGCAGAAAAAAGGAACATCTCCGGCACACGCAGAAACACTTACCATGTGTAGATCATTCTCATCGGAAAACAATCGGCTTTCACGGGTTTTCCAAATCTTTATTAATTCCCGGGAATCTCAACTACTAAACTATACTGACTATACTGCAGCAAAGCAACATTGGATACCGGTCATCTCAACATTTTATAGATGATTTTCATGGATTTTCCATGGATTTCCATTGATTTTCATTGATTTTCCATGGATTTCCATGGATTTTCATTGATTTTCCATGGATTTTCCCATGAAAGGCAGCCAGCCGACGATTTTCCTCGCGGCCATTTTTTCGTGGCTCTCAGCTGTGCACCTGTGTGGTGCGGGGGGAGATGAAGCCAGGTCAATGGGGATTGGCTGTTCCAGAATTCATGAAAAAACTGTATTCCAGCTGGTTGGTGGTTTGGAACATTTTTTTTTTTCCCCATATATTGGGAATAATAACCCCAACTGACTTTCATATTTTTCAGAGGGGTTTAAACCACCAACCAGAAAACTGTATTCCAGAATTGTTGGGGAAAAAACCTAATAAAATTAAAATGACACGTAATGAACTATTGAAAAGGGGATGGGAGGAGTTACCCATCTCCAGTGAAGACATGTGCAGAACCTGAGGGACCTGAAGAGGTCAGGGTATTCCATAAAATGCATTTATCATATAAATGTCAAACATGTGAATCGGTTGACATATGTTGACATCTAAGTTATGTGGCTTACAATCAATGTATATCAGTTGATTACTATTTTCTCTACGTTCTATTGCCGACAGTTTGCATCTTATGATTTTGCAGCACTCACCATATCTGATTCATGTTACCATGTAGGGTTCCAATTCAACATCTCTCAGCGACATGCGCGCGATTCGTTCCTTGCGCCTGGTAGGAGGCATGGGATTCAAGTAGCTGCAGCCCGCTGCGGCGGTGGAGTGAAACAGGGGCCATCAATTGAGCTTGGTTCAAAACCTTGGGTTTTTAATGGCTTATTCAATGGGAATTTATCTATCATTGGTGATTGAATCAGCAAATTATGGGGATGAATCATTGAAGACTGATGGTTGGTTGATGATTAGTTACGTTCAGAGCAACTGCAATACTACCGAATACTTTGGGGGTTGTCTGTTCTTAGCAAACCAGTACAATGGAATCACAGAAGGGTTTGAACACTGCTCAATTGAGAAGACCGAGTGAGGTCCGAAACATCCATCTGTCTTTAGATTTGTTTGCAAAAAATACAGGACTCCTCCCTATTTCATGGGATAAATGTGTGTGCGTCCTGCATTTTTTTTCCTTGAACATAATCCCAATGACTTGGGAAAATCACACGAACACATGCAAATTTAGATGTGGGAACCAATTTTTAATCTCTGGTTTTGAAGAAACATCAGGAAAACCTCTTCAAACACTGCGAGGTCATCAAACATGGCTGGAAAACAACTCCAGCAAGAGTGCTAGGCGCCCACAGAAGATGGGCGACTCAGGACGCTAGCGAGAAGGCGTTTTTTCTGGTTTTGAGCTGGGTCAAAATCTAGGTGTATCATGCCATGAGATATAGACCCAACAAATCCCAACAATATGATCACTTACATGTATACAATTAACATCTATTTGCCAATTATTTTGGTGTGAAGACCACAGTACGAGTGTTTATCAGGCAATGGAGAATGATTCCATGAAGCTTCTCGAAGTTTAGAAGCAAAGCTTGCAGGTTCGGAAGGCTGAGGCTGGGTGGAAACGACTGGCCTCGCAATGGCGGTTCACCCCCAAGAATCGTTTTTGTGGGTTATGACATCACTTATGATTGGACTAATCTTGCTTATTGATGCTTATTGTACTTATGACTAGGGTTGTAACCCCCCTACCGTAACTGGGAGTGAACCACTAAATGCAGCTTTGAAGGTCTCAAAACAAGATTAAGTGGCGACCCAACAGATCCAACAGCTTTCGGGTCCGAAGTTTCACGGTGGATGAATCGTAGTCCGACAAGAGCACGAGGTGATTCTGCAGTGATGGGCCCTATCAGTGTGTGTTAATTTCAGCCCATTTACCCCCTCGTAACTTTCAAATAGCTATGCACGATGGTCCATTTATAGTTTACCTGTTAGACAGTTTTTTTCCTAATGTAGCTATATATATATATATGTATATATATATATATATATATATGAAATTACCAGAGGGTAACTGGTAGATAACCTTCGTGCTTGGGGTATTCAGTAGTGACAAGCCGGGTCCTCAAGGCTCCCAGAATTGGGGTTATGAAACAATTCAGCCCGGAAGCCCCTATGCTCGGGGGTGTTTTCACCAGGCTTTCCTGAAACAATCCTACAAAACCAATCCATTGAATGTCATGTTTGTTGATCAAATCCCTACTTCAAGATGCTTACCCTCTGGTAATTTAACATAGCTATTGAAAATGACCATTTATAGTGGATTTTCCCATTGAACATGGTGATTTTCCATAGCTATGTTAGTTTACCAGAGGGTAAAACCTATACCTGGTTAAATCGACAGTTTTGGCTTATTTGAATCGCCAGGTCCGCTAGGTTTGTGGCCTGCCAGGAGGCGGCAGAGGAAGCGGTTGGAATTCCCACGGGAGTCAAAGTGGCCGCAGCCGTGGTGGGTGGTGGGTGCGGGTACCCAGGGGGCCCGGGGTCAGGGTCCACATGTGGAGATGAAGAAAATCCTTGCTAGAGTCTAGTGATATGTCATCGAGATGATTTTCAGATGATTTTCCTCCAAAAAGTGGCTTTACCCCAATAAAATCGACCATCCCCTTTATGGGTGGTATTTTTACCATCCCTAGTCATGGTCGGTTTATGCGATGGATCCCACCATCATCTTTACCTCGACGAGTTCCATCGGGCCAGGCTGTTGTTGGCCTTCCACTATCTGCTCCTGGGACAGCGCGAGAAGCAGGCGCGGCTGCCCGGGTGCCTCCGTCATATCTTGCTTGACCCATAATTGGCTGGGATATCTCTGGTAAATACATGCAAATACAGTAGCAGAATTGAATAGAAAGTAAGGATTCGAATCCTAGGCTGTTAGGAAGTTCACATGGACCAACATGTGAATAGAATATATATATATATTTGCATATATATATATATAAAACATTATGTTATAATATATATATATAATATAATATAAAATAAAATAAAATAATATAATATAATATAATACAATATAATATAATATAATATATAATATAATATATAATATATAATATAATATAATATAATATAATATATAATATAATATAATATAATAATATGATACAATATAATATAATATAATATAATATAATAAACATAACATAATATAATATAATAATATATATATATATATCATATTATGTTATAGTATATATATATATATTTTACATATAACACATATAGTATATAATATAATATATAACATATAATACATATAGTATTTAATATATAATATATAATATGTAATATGTAATATGTAATATGTAATATATAATATATAATATATTTATATAATATATTTATATAATATATGTATAATACACACACACATATATAATACATATATAATATGATATGATATATATATATATCTTATTATATTATATACTGGTCTTATATATATATATATTATATTTGGATATATATATATATCTGGATATGTGTGTATATATATATATATATGCATGACATATATATATATATACACATACACACTATATAATATATACATACGTATATTGGTAGATAATGATGATGTCAACCAGGAAAGTCCAACGTATCAAACCGCTCAGATCCATTTCGGCCAGTGTCTTGGGGATTGGGATGGTCAGTTTGCGACACAAACTATCAACAATGAGATGCCTTGAAATACCAAATTATAATATATTTAACCATATTTAATCATATTTATACCAATTAAATACTTATCTGTATATTTAATTATAGTATTTTATAATACAATCATGATAATCATGTTCAGCTTATTTCGTATAAAGGCCATTCCCAAAACGTGCGGCAACGCGTGTTGGAGGGGCAGGCGGTTCCCAAGAATCCACCGATCCAGTTCAACTTTTCCCTTGATTTGATGGCAAATCTATGGCAATTTTAGGGCACCCTCTAGTAAACTAACATAGCTATTGAAAATGGCCATTTATAGTGGATTTACCCATTAAAAATATTTAAAAATGATGATTTTCCATAGCTATGTTAATTTACCAGAGGGTATACCATGTATAGACCGCAATTTTTTTTTCATGATTTGGCCACTTTAGATTGAGGATTCGGCTGGCACACGCCTGCTGGCAGATGGATAGTTCCCAAGCTTCGGTTTTCCAAGCGCACGATCCGATTTTCCTGCCAACAACCCCCTCAGATTTCGAGACTCTGTGGGCATTGAAATCTGTGCGTAGGACGCGCTCTATCGGGAGAAGATTGAGGCCCTACAAGAGGAGGCGCGAGAGGGTTGGAGCCTGAGGTGTCATGAAAAGTGGGAAATCCTTCAACTAAATGGAGGGTTTAATGATGTTTAATGGGAACATGATCGAAGTAAATTAAGCTGAAAGACATGATATTTTTTCCATTCAATTCCATGTTTTGCCAATTGTTATGGATGATTAATCAAGATTTTCTTGGCTCTGCCAGCAATACAGCTGTGTGCCGAGTTCGATCATCCAGGTTCATCGGTTGAGGTCCCGGCTAAAGGAGGTTCGGACAGTGGGACTGGAAGGGATTGGGAACATGTTGTGAAAAGTTTCAGCTTATTCAATTTTTCATCAATTTTTGTCGAGGCAGGAATTTTCTTAGCGTGGAACCAATAATCGACCAAGCGTGGAACCGGTTTCTTTCACCCGGTCTTTCATGTTTGGCGACCTGCTCTGATACGTTCGGTAGTCAAAGGTCGCAAATTCTCTGCCAGTTGCAGAAAACCAACAGTCAAAAAGTGTCCAAAATGTTGCATTGCAACAGACATGTGATCTGGCAGCCACCACAGAGAGCACAAAACATGCCATGAAGCCTACGAGTCTGGTCACATCCACCTTTAGTACCCTTTGTATCCCTTTGCCATCCTGGTTTTATCTGGTTTGCCTTGTCAATCACACGTTTCGACATGAAGACAGGATAAGACTGGTCAACTCCAGCAGCCCAAGACCAGAGAAATATACATGGAACATCATGGAACATCATCTGAGAAGTCTGAGAACTGAGAAGGGCTAGAATCTGCAGGCTGCAGCTAGTTAAGCTCTCAAAGAGCTCGGTGGATTCCTACTCTTATCCCAGGTGGAACGAGCCCGTTTCAAGGGGAAGTCCAGTGCTCGGTGGATGGGGTGGCGGACACCTGCGGGCAGTTTTCATCACCTCTGAGGCCAGTGCCCGAGTGAGGCCGCAGGGACATCGTACTGAAATGGTCTGTGCGCCACTGCGCTAGACTCCCGGGACAGGAAAATCTGGCTGTGTGCGTTTCTTGGAGGGCTACCAGGCTTGTATGAAACTTCATTTGGGTGTGATCACCTAAAATGGTGCGTGCTATGGTTTATAGACTATAAATTATATAGTATATATTTGATTATTTATATATATATATAGAAGTTATAAGTTATAAGTAACTATGTATATGTATATGTATATGTATACATATATATATATATATGTATACATATACATATACATATACATCCCGGCGGAAGGGAAACCGCGCGAGCGTTTTGATTGGTTGCTTCCAGGAGAGTCACAATCACCTGTAATTTACAATATAAAATGCTCTTCCGATCAGTTTGGATAACTGAATTTGGGTTAAAAAAAGTGGATGCAAAATCTATTGATTTTTAACAAATCCAGGTAAACATCATGTGCATCAGACGTGGATGCGCAGATTTTTTTTCACACTCTTCGTCGGCTCAGCGATCCATCAGTGTGGAAGCTGTCTTCGACAGCAAGTTGCCATTATGGCACTCATAACGCCACTGCCAGCAACGCAGGTATAGCATGACATCTTTGTTCTGCCCTGCCTTTGTCTGCAAATTGCTAGGCACAATTTTTTTAGCCAAATTCCACAGAGAGTCAATCTTCCCAGCAGCAGCAAGGATCTTAGCAGCGTAGCAACATGTAACGTAGTAAACAATCCCAGAGATCTCAGCAGCGTAGCAACATGTCACGTAGTAAACGATCCCAAGGATCTGAGCAGCGTAGCAACATGTAACGTAGTAAAAGATCCCAGAGATCTCAGCAGCGTAGCAACATGTCACGTAGTAAACGATCCCAAGGATCTCAGCAGCGTAGCAACATGTCACGTAGTAAACGATCCCAAGGATCTCAGCAGCGTAGCAACCTGTAACGTAGGAAACTATCTCAGAGATACCAGCAGCGTAGCAACATGTAACGTAGTAAAAGATCCCAGAGATCTTAGCAACATCGCAATATATCCTGTACGAAGTTTGAGGAACGTTAACATGCCCCCCCACCCCACCCCACCCCAACCCCAACCCACACTAACATGGCAATATATCCTGTACGAAGTACGAGGAACGTTAACATGCCCCCCCACCCCACCCCACCCCGACCCCAACCCACACTAGAGATCTCAGCAGCGTAGCAACACGTAACGTAGTAAAAGATCCCCGAGATCTTAGCAACATGGCAATATATCATGTACGAAGTACAAGGAACGTTAACATGCCCCCCCCCCCCCCCCCGCCCCAACCCCAAGACAAAGAGCAATACTCAAAAAAGAAACAAAACGCACGTACGGTTTTCCTGCCGTAGGCATATACATGTATATGTATATGTATATGTATATGGATATACATATACATATACATATACATAATACATAATACATAATACATAACACATAATACATAATACATAATACATAATACGTAATACATATACACATACAGACACAGATACACATATATGTATAATTATGTATATACATATATATATATATACACATACATATGTATATATATATATATATATACACAAATACATACAAATAAATAAATAAATACATATATATATATATCGGCAACTGCGTCATTTTGAGTGCTAAGTCATTCATTTTTTGGTCAGCAGGTTAGCCATAGCTACCATCCAAGTTCGACTAACCTTGGCAAGCCAGGCCGTGATTCGGGCCCCTTTGATGGGTCAAGCCACCCTCATTTCTGGACATGGAGCCCAACCGCTGCCACATCAGCACAGCATAGCACAGCATAGCACAGCATGTCAGAGTTGTGACAATTGTGACAAGCTGAGAGCCCTTCTTCAAGGCTTGGTATATCTTGGTATAGTTGAACAGCTTTTCGATTTTTGTTTTTTTTTGTCCCATTGTCCCATCATCTGGGATTCTCCCAACTGAGTAGCTAATTAAGCACCCAACCGGGATCCTAGAAACCCACCGTATTCCAATCAGAAGTCCTAAGTCAGAGATTGAAAAACTCCGTCGCCATGTCGGTTGCTGTGCCGATCTCAGCATCATTTTGGCTTCCATTGTGGGACTGTTCATAGGGATAAATCACAAACTCCGCCGTTTCGGTGACCCCCAAAAAACACCAAAAACCGCAATTTTTCCGGGCGACGTCTGAAGCATTCGATCCCATCTGGGGTTCATATTTTTCACAACTCCATTTGATCGTCCCAAACCAAGGTTCCTGGCGGGTGTTTAATATTGTTGGCTACATCCCCATGACTCTTGCCATGATGAACATCCATGAATTAATCGGCATGAATCACCATACAACCTTTGTTGAATCCCCACGTAATCCCCAATTAATCACCACTTAAGCCCCTATTATTCACCATTCATCACCCATTATCATTAATCTGGTTGGTGGTTTCAGACATGAATTTTATGTTCCATTTCAATCCATTTCATATATGGGATGTAATCCTTCCCATTGACGAACTCATATTTTTCAAGATGGTTATTGCACCACCAACCAGTATATATATATAAATACATATAATCCACCAGATAATCCACTATTAACCATCATGAACCATCATTAGCCATTGTTAAACCCATATGTATATATATATAACTATAGTTTCTATAGCCACACCAACCAGTAATGTATTAGGGGGGGAATCCCAGCGCGCCATGCTCGAGGTGAAGGAACTCCTGGGTGAGAGCCTCACGTTCTACGTCTCCGAATTGCCTGGGAGCCGAGCCAAAACGGCCGGGCCGTGTAAGGGCCAGGCTTGTTATAGCCGTGCAGCAAAAAGACCTTGAACAAAATCCAAAGAACAGATACATATGATGAACTACTGTATGATTGTATGATAATAATTGATAATATATATATATAATTATATATATATATATATTAGTTTATTTTATTTTATTTAGTTATGTAATGTTATGTACGTATATATATAATATATATATATATATATTGTATATATATATACATACACGTATAAATATAGCACTGAATATATGTAGACAAAATTGGCATCACGTGGCTGGAAGCATTTGCAGACATCTGCTCAGCTCTTGGCTGTGAAGACGAATGTTTGCCGTCACCAGGATCGTCGCACTGTCACTGTCCACTATTGCTGTGGATGAGACTCAAGAAGAAACCACACTTCAAATGCTTCAACTCGACACATGAACTCAAACATGTGGAAACACCGCTACGGGTAAAAACTCACTGCCGGAAAGCTATAGGTCCGTGAATCTCCCAATCCAAGCAATATCAAGCAATTCTCTTGAGTTTTGGGATCTTCACCAGACTGTCCTGACTTTTTTCCCTGGTGAGTCTGGGGGTTGTCTTTCCATTTTTCTGCTATGGACATTGGAGCCTTTGGAGCCTTTGGAGCGGAGCTTGAGTCAGCTTGAGGTTCAAGCCAGACTATGTTCACCCCTTCATGAACATCGATGTCTCTGTGGTCTCGGACAGTGTTTCTTGGCCCATTGGATCAACAGAGGGTTGAACGATTTGGGCGAGGGCCAACTGTAGCACCATATTTGGATGGTTAAACTATGTGAAACTTCCCAGAACTACCAGCTATTTTGACATATTTTGACATATTCCCAGTATTTCCCAGTTGAACTGCCCTTCAGACCTGCTAGGTCAAGCCCATCCCGCCACAGTGGGTCAACGACGTTGAGCTGGATGAGTTTGGGCGCGGCGGGCATGGCTTCAAATACAGTACATTGTTATACCATGTATTCCAAAATTGCATGTTTTTTGATGGGGAGAATGATGATTGAACATTGGTTTCAGGGGTACAGTACGTCATATCTATCCGAAATCTATCCATTCTTGGGAAAGAAAAATGTTTGGCGCAGCCCCAGTGCCGAGACTCAAAAGCGAGTGCTTCGACTTGTTACCTGGCTTTTTCTTGCAAACAGTTTGGGCAAAAGCCATGGATGAGCCACAGTGAAACTTGGGCAATCATCGCTTGCGACATTTCAAAATTACAACCAAGAGTGCCAAAGGATGCAAAGTCCATTTATTTTTTGACTCTGAAAAGCTGATGTTCATGAAGGCGAGGTAAAATCCGAGCAGCAGTTGCCAAAAAAGGCGAAGCTTCGCCAGTTGAGACAATGCAAATCATTAGACACAGAAACAGGATGTCCAATAATTCTAGATGGATTTCAGTGGCACTTCTCTTCTTCTTCTTCTTCTTCTTTGACCAAGTAGCAAAGTCAAAAAATACATATGTTAAAAACATAACAAATCCTTCCTAGGTTTGCTATTATTAATACAACCATTAGTAACCCTTCCTAATATGTTACTAATCATTGCGAATGGTTAGTAATGGTTGGCAGGGTCGGTGAATGGTTTTGACCGCCAGGGCAGAGATGGGAGATGTGATTGGAGAGGGCCCCGTCTTATCCTGGAGCTCTGAGGACGGAGCAGCTGCAACTTGATGGCGCAAGCAATTTCCGGAATATCGCCAGCATATATCTAAATATGTGTACACATATCTATATATATATATATACATAATATACATATAATATAATATATATATATATAATATAATCTATAATATATATGTAACATGCATAAAACTCAACAACATGTTCAACAACCATAACTTTTTTTTAAGTCTCCCGTAAAATCAGCGAACTAAGTGGAATGCTACTAGCCGCTTGCCGATTCGGAAACGATTCGGCTCCAAAATGCGGTGACAGCATGAACTGGGTATGGTTCAAGCATTGGGGACTTTGTTAACTGGTGATTAACTGGGTATGCTATTAATACCATACTGAATAGCATCAAAGTGATTCAACTGTTAATAGTTTGGGTTACTAATTTGGGACCAGTATGGACCAGTTGTTTTTTCTGTCAAGTCATTGGCTGTGCAAAGTGGGATGATTTCAGGTCCGACAAACTTCCAGTCCGTTGTGTCCCCAATCGGCCAGGCAAAAACTTAACCCGCTCCCACATTTTGGAGCTCGTGATTTGTCATTCCTGAAAATTGGATAAAATTGGATGGTTTGGTACTAAAAATGATCAGTCATTAGTCGGTAGGTCCCATCTACAGCACCCAAATGGGTCGCCATTCTTCCATACAATGTCAACCCCGGATTAATAAACCATGGCTTATTAATTAGGGGGGTACTCCTCCAATAGTCATAATCCAGTACTTAAATGGTACCCCCCCAATTAAACAGCCTAGGGGTTTATTAATCCAGGGTTGACATTATATATATATAATAATGGGGATATCGGATGTAATTACTAATCATGGGGATGTTTTTTGGGGGTTTCCTTAACTGGGGGTACCCAAATATGGGTGGTTTATTTCATGGAAAATTCGAAAATAGAATGGATGAGAACTGGGGGTACCCCCAGTTTAGGAACCCACCATATAAGACTGAATGCCCGGCCTTCATTCCGGCAAACAAGGCCCGGGTGGCATGTGTGATTCATTTCGAGGTCCATGTAGACTCGTAGAGGAATTTTACGTATTCAGGAGATGGTTGACTGTTTTACAGTAGAGTATTGCTAGGTAGTGATTACCCACACCATACTACCCCGCATGAGAAAAGTACCCACTACTATGAATTGCTGACTCCACATTATACCCTGATGATTATTGGGTAAGACCAGCATACCCATACTACATCATACTACATTTCCAATGGCTTGGCCAATCTTTGCTTTTCCCCACATTACTATATTGGCTAGACAATATACCTTGGTCTATCCACTGAAAGTGGTGGGATGGCACATATTATACTGTGGTTGTGTCTGCTATACCCAGATCATACCTGGTTATCAAATTATTGGGTTGATAAATCTTGGAAACATATACCCACATGTTCTAGATGTTATCCTATGTTATCCTACCTTAAATTGGAAGACATAAGACATCCCCCTTTTTCAGACCAGTCCAAAGCAAAGACTTCGACTTTTTGGTCACCCCCATTGGGAGATTAGTTCAGGAGCGGAAGCAGCGCTATCTCAGTGCCCTGCGGAGACTGGAGCTCAATGAGGCGTGGACGAGTGCACCGAGTGCACCCGGAATCATAGAAAGATAGAAAAGTAGACTACAACGCATTGAACATTAGTAAGAATTGGCTATGTAACTATCTTTTTTAGGGGTGATGGATATGTGTATGTATCCTTTATGTATCCTTTATAAGTATGTATTCATACCTAATTCTGTTGAATGACATAGAATAATCATAGAATATCATAGAATATGCATGGATATTTTCACCCGTCCGACCACAACAGCCCTCTTTACTTTTCCGGTGCAGCTCGGGAAGGAGATGTTGACCTCCAAACGGATGACAGGAATGAGTCACTTGGGTGTCAAACCCTGGTGGTTGCTGGGGATGAAGATATTATTCTGTGTATATATACATATATATATATACATATATACATATATACATATCATATATATATATACATATATATATACATATATATGTATATATACATATATATATATGTATATATATATATACATATATAGATAGATATATATACATATATATATATATATTATAAATATACATTTATAATATGTAAATATGTAGATTCGTAGATTTTTCCTAAGGTCGAAACTCAAGAGATGGACATGGAAAGAAGTTGGTCAATCCTTGCTACGAACGGACCAGCCTTCCCGTCGGTGATCGGCCAAGGCAAGTCGGAGCTTGGACAAGAGAAGAAACGTGTCAAAGCGGAGCGGCTGGCATGGAATGATCCATAGATCCAACCACAGTTACCATGCCGGCGAAAGTGCTTGAAATCCGGGTGCTCTAACAGGTAGGCAAAAGGGGTTGTGTCAAAGTTGGAACCACAGATTCAATGATGATTCCATGATTTATCAGCATTTCACCCGTTGAACTTGCCATAAGTTGGGGGCCCGCCCATCCCACCCTGAGAAGATGGCCGCCATGGCCGCCCAGTTTGCTCAGGAGCTGAAACGCTACGACACAGACTGGAAGAGACAGCTGCTCGGATTGGCAACCACCTTGAATGGGCCATGCTCCGTAGATGTTGGTAGCGGGTTTCCACGTGTCGTCATTCAACCCCTTTGTTTTTTTGGTGTCAGCAGAAACAGGCAATTTGGTTAGATGGCACAACATATCGCCTTTTTTCTGCCATTTCATGCGGGCATGAAACCTGCGGAAATCGAGGTGAACCATGGTGAACCAGCCTGTGCCGAGGTTTAAGGTTCTTCCGAATCACTCTCAAAAAGAGGTGATGCGACCTTTGTACCTCTACTACAGGCCGGCCACACTCTAAAAAACGAAGACGTTTTCAGACCATTGAATCCAGCCACAGAAGCAAAAAGGCCATTTGGTAATCAAACATAGCAATGGAAGATCCTTCATTTCTAGATGTGTTTCCCATATTTTCCCATTAAACCACCATTTCAACAGGATTTCCAGTGGATTTTCAGACTGCAGGGGCCAATTTTGATACGCCAACATGATTTCCGCAACGGTGCCAGACGGCTCAAGAACCAGCTGGCCAGCGCCGATTCTGGGGCTCGAGGTGGTGGTGCTTCACCTGGTTTTAAACCATGGCTTTAAAAACGACAAAAAATAGGGAACACTGAGCCACCGAGCCATAGCTTTTTATATTTTTTGTTGGGGTTTTCCTCTGTTTTGGGCTCCAAAGATTTGACCCAAATCCTCGGATTCCAAGGTTTGATATTTGAGACCTCCAAAGGTGACCAAGTCAGTTGTGATGTGTACTGGGTACATCTCTTTCCACTCTGAAGTCACCAAAAAAGAAACAACCCGGCTTACTTGCGGATCTATTCATTCCTAGATTCCATTTACAATACTCCTGGATGGGATTGAGAAGTTATAAGCCCATCGCATTCTCGTTGCCAGACCAAGACAGTGATGACGATTTGCTGGGAAGGCACTGGTGGTGACTGGTTTCTGGATGTGCTGACACAGATATGAATTGTCCTTTTGACCTCATACTGTCATACTATTGTCATACTGATATTGACAGGCTTCATATTGAGCGCTTTGCACGACTCATCTGACAACCTGATCTCCTTCCCGGTACTGTATGCGAAGATCGCGGGAGAGCTCTTCTAATTGGCTTGATACAGACATGCTTGTGTTTGGAGAAAACAAATGAGTTGATCTTGAACTCGAAAGACACAGCGCAACAATGCGCAACACGGGTCTGACTACATCAGATTTTGGTTCTTGAGGAACTGTAGGATCTGAGTTCTTATACAATCTGCCATGCAAATGTAGTAACTGAGCATCGTCCAATCAATTGGTTGGAATTCAAAATTGCCATTTGTAATCATATGGGTCAGGAAATTGGGGTACGCCAGAATAGATGTACTGAATACTAAAGAACGACCAAAAATCCCGTTGGTTTTTCTGCGTCCACAACATTGACCAAGTTGCCCATTTTCTGCCAGACCCGGTGCAGCGGACTCGCCACTTGGTAGCATCCAGCATCCAGGATCATTGGCTTATTTAGGAAGAGGATTTGGGTGACAATCTCGACCTTTTTTTTGCGTGCTTATGCGTGCTTGGTACGATGCAGTTGGGCTTATTTTTAGGGGGTACGATGTTGATGTACTATCTGGTTATTTAACATAGCCATGGAAAATCACCATGCTATTAATAGGTAAACATCTATTTCTATGGGCCATCTATACCATGGCTATGTTAGTCATAACCAGAGGGTAACCCCTATGAGTTGGGACCACGACAATTGTATTCACGACCACTGAGTCAGTGGAACTGCACCCACAGTCAGTGGCGACTTTTTTTGAGTATCAAACTTATGAAACCATCCATTTTGGGCAGATCATGATTTTGACATATAATACAGATATGTATGTATGTATATATATACATAATTACATATATATATATATACATACACATATAATTACATATATATATACATATATATATATACATATATATATACAGATACATATATATATACATACATAAATACATACATATATACATTATATATATACATATATATATACACATGTATATATATATACAGGCATGCATGCAGGCAGGCACATACATACAATACAAAAATACAAGAATACACATAGCAATACCAATACCATGCCATACAATACAATACATACACATTAGACATGCGTTTTGTGTTCTGTATTTTCAGGTGCCGGCAGATGAACCAACATCACATTGCCAACATATATTCATGTCCAATTGGCAAGAACTGGGGATGGGTATACCATTGCGGGTGCAACAAGTCCATTTCCATAATATAGAACATATTAGAACCATATATGACCCATATATATAAACCCATAACAAGCCACATGTAGATTGGGAAGATCATTCATGAATGTATATATATATATACATACACATATGGTACCCGCAGGGTCTACCAACCAACCAACCAACCATATCATTTCCACGGTATAACATCGGTGTGTTATGATTTTTTTTGGGTGTGCATTTTCAACTGCTATTTTCTTTTAAAAGTTTTTTTTTTGTGGCCTTTGATGAAAGGTGGTTAACATATATATATATACATATTATTCTGTGTTTTTTTTTGTTTGTTTTGGGACTTAATGTAGCTCTTGATATGTACAAAAACGCGTACATACACGTATAACCTTTGGGTTCATCCAAGAATTCAAGAATCCAAGATTTGCACAGGGCCCAATGGGTGAATCTTGGGTGCACCCGTTCTTGGATGCAAGGGTTAGAATGGTAGGTGGTACGCATACATACACATACCTGTCTAGGTTTGACATATTCAAGCAAAGTAAGTGCCTGAAAGCTGGTCTTCTGTATCCAGTCCTGCTTCAGTGTAAGACCCAGAAGCAGACGTAGTTGCAATGTCTCCAGGACTGTGAACATGAAGGATGGTTGCGCCGAGGAGGAGGAGGAGGAGGAGGAGGAGGAGGTGGAGGTGAGAATCACGATGACCCGGTTGAACATGAGCCAGAATTGCCAAGTAGGAAGCCGCATGCTGAAGATGAAGCTTCGTTCAGCCCAGTACGGGTACTGGTGTCGCAGCTAAGACCATTGGATCAGCATAGGAACGCTGATCCAGTGGTTGTCTTCCATTGTACAGGCAGTATGAAGGGGAGGCTGCTGCTGCTGCTGCTGCTGCAGGAAGATCAAAAATTGAAGCAATATCTTTCTAGCATATGTTCATAGTGCAAATGTCATATCATACAGTATCCCTTCATGTCAACGCGTTTAAGTCTCAATCAACAAACTTTTTTTGCATGTCTACTGCAAAAAATATGTGAGTTAATCCATATCTTGAGCTTCGATATCACCCACTCACACCTCACATTCATAGAATTGGATTATGGGAAAAATTACAGGAAAGCCCTATATTTTATGGTAAAAACCATGTTTTCCTGTAGATTTTCCCTTAATCCAATCCAGTGACACATTGAATTTATGGCTGTGCGTTGCCAAACTGTCCACATCTCGAGCTTCATTGTGAACCACCCACATCTCACATTGCCTTGTCGAGCTCAAACAACATGTTTATCAATCATCTACTGGCAAACCTTAAAGGTAGATCTTGGGGGGCCTAGCACATATATATATATATATGTATATATATATATATGTATATATATATATATATGTATACATAGAAACCACCGAGTAGATAGAACAACTGAACACCTGAAAATGATGAGAAGAATCATCTATAATCCTGGAATTTCTTTCTTTTTTGCCTGGGTCCCGCACCCCCAAGTAGAATGGTCGAACTTCATCCTGAGGCGGTCGACTGGGAATAAGCACGGATCCCAGTGACCTGACAAGCGCGTTTTCATGGGATGACCTCTGATGCAACTTCCAAAAAAATGCAGAAAACATCAGAAAAATAAAAACTACATCTAAAATACCGCTAATAATAACATGTAAAAACTTACTTTTTTTTTGTTGCCACAGATGCAGATTTGTGTTGGGTTCGTACAAGAACCCTCTAAAATACACTAGTCCTTGAAATCATCCGACGAGATTTGTCTAATTATTGTGAAGATGGCCAATTGGGTCGGGTCAACGCTGGGAAGCAACCATTATTTTGTTTTTTTTTCATGCTTGTTCTATGCTGGTTGTTCAGCACCATTTTCCTAGTCTTTTTTGGGTTACCCATAGATCATTGGATTAATTTACGTTTTTTTTTGCAGCAAACCCGGGCACATCCAATCAATCCGCATCAACAAAGGCCATGAACCCCCATGATTTCACTCCCCCCGTAGTTGGTGAACTCCCCCGGAGGTTCGTATGGAGGTTTCCTGAAATGGGGGTACCCCCAATCATCCAAATTTGATGTTCGTTTATTTTCATGGGGGTTTCATTGGGGTTCACCATTTAAATCCTAAAATGGAGGTATCCAATTATCCAACATCATGGTCTATACCCTGTGGTAATTTAACATAACTATGGAAAATCACCATTTTTAATGGGAAAATCCACTATAAATGGCCATTTTCAATAGCTATGTTAGTTTACCAGAGGGTAAGCCATCAACTTTTGGGTACTCCCATCCCCCCATTTCAGGAAACCCCATTTTGATGGCGAGGAAATCCAGTCGCGAGAAGGCTGAGCAGCAAATCGGCCAACTGGAGGCGCAGTCTTGTGGCCGCCCGAGAATAGTCCGACCATGAAAAGGGGGGTAGCATTCTGGACAGATCATGTTTATTCAATTTGTAGAAAATGGATAAGTTTTCTCAGTGTTATATATGTTATGTTATATTATTATATAAACCATCCATTTACCATTAAATTCAAAATATATACTATTTGCGTTAGGATCAATAATCATAAGTATAGAATCAGTATAGATTATACCCTCATTGGCGCCTCAATGGCGCCATGTAGGGCAGCCTGCCCGGCTGTGTCCTCCACCGGTGGCACCACCGATCAGTGTCATCTTAGCTGGTAAACAGTATCCGCTGTATCCACTAAATTGTGGCAATTTAGACCTACTAAAAGACCTATCCGAGATTTACCCAGAGGCATCAGCTACCCTCTGGTAATTTGTTACGTAGCTATTGAAAATGACCATAGAAATAGTGGATTTTCCCATTAATAGCATGGTGGATCTTTCCAGTTCGCTATTTTGACATAACCAGAGATTTACCCAGAGGCATCAGCTAAATCACCATTTTTTTGTGGGCGACATCACCTTTCATCCTTGGCTCTCCAAGCATCGCAAAAGTCAAGCTCTCCAGCGAAATCACAAGGCACGGGCGAATTCGCTCCAAACAGAGAAAGGCCAGGGCCTGCCATCGCCCATCCCAGCGGGAGTTTCCTAAAGCCTTAATGAATACCCTCTGGTTATGTCAAAATAGCTATTGAAAGATCCACCATGCTATTAATGGGAAAATCCACTATTTCTATGGTCATTTTCAATAGCTACGTGAAATTACCAGAGGGTACCTAAAGATCCTAAAGTGAAAAGGAACACCCAAGTATACAGTATACCTAAGTGTAAATTTATCTAATGAACTCTATATCATGATCTACATAAATCCCATCGAATATGGATCCAGATCTTGACCGAATGGACAGATCCACATGGCTTTCCTGGATTTGTGGGATCCACTAAATTCTAAGACTGCTCCGTCTTGGCAGACGAACGCTTGCAATTACGTGTAACCCTATTTCAAGAAACAAACACGAGATGACAAGAGACACAGAATTTTCTGTTCCCAATGTTGGTGATTGCAGATTGTGACGGACAATCAGGTTTTTTGCACGGCTAGATTTGGCCTCCTTGCAACATGCACTGAGATAAATCATCGAACATGAAAAGACTGGAACAAAGCGTGCAAAAGACACAGGAACGATCCGCGGCAAATTGAAAGAGTTCCAAGAGAGTCACTTGGTCTAGATATTGAGGCGTTGTGGGTAGAACGGTCAATATCAGGCAGCATTTGCTTTGGAACTGCACATTTGATTGTCCCGGTAGCACCAGGGGTCATTGAGTCATTGAGCAAGCTGTGGTTACTTTTTCTATGTCCGATTTTCCCAGGAGTTCCAGGTATCTTGATATAATCCCATTTTCCGATGATATTTAGAAAAACATCCCCATGCTCTGGTCCCAATTTTGTTGTTTAATGTTGTTTATATAATCCCCTATGAACCCATAGTTTATGGGTAGTTTTGTGGCTCTTTTCTTGGATGCAGCCTGGCAAATGACCCTGGATGGTACTTGTCGATAGTAACGAATCATCGTTAGTAGTTAGTATCATTATCATACGAATCACAATGATACAACTCCAATACTTGTTTCGCATTACTGTTCTTTAGATTGTTGTACAGTTACCATAGTATATAATCAGTATATAACCAGTATATAAGCTTGGATTCCTTTTCATTTCGCCATGTCTTGAAACAATGGCGACATTTTCGACAGCTGAGACTTCGTGCTGCAACATCACCGGAAGATCCGATTCCACAAGGCACGGTGCTTTTAGCCTTGCTTAGGGGCTACTGTAGGACGACCAAATCATTGCTTGTTGCATATTTATATATATTTATATAAACATACCCTCTGGTAATTTAACATAGCTATGGAAAATCACCATTTTTAATGGGAAAATCCACTATAAATGGCCATTTTCAATAGCTATGTTATATAGTTTACCAGAGGGTACCAACACCTGTGTGGCCTTGGTCACATTGGTCACATGGTAACATAGCCGGCCCATGTTTTGCAGCCCCCACCTAGGGTCTCATGGGTCTTATGGGCAGCAGGGGCAGCCGCAGAGTCAATGTTTGTCATAGGACATTCTGCCAATCGAGAAGGAATACCGCGCCTACAAGAACATCAAAGAAGAGCTCCAGAAGGCAATTCCTGGGGACCACCAGCCGTCATGCGGCACTTCATCCCTAAAGGAGGTAGGTATACTGGTAGGGGTCAAGTGGTCGCATTTTAGATTCCTGAGCCTGTCCAACTTGTAGATGTGAGATATCCGTTGGCAGAACCTCTAGATTTGCTGGCAGAATCCCTTCCTGCAACTTGTATCTGCATTGTTTGTATCCTTTCTTTCAAAGTTGAAAAACCGTTGATATATTCCAAAATGCCCCATCATCCAAATTATATCCCCATTATAATCACCATTCTGTTTGGTTTTCCCCCCACTCTTGTTGATCAAATTCCGTTCCCACCAGGTTGAGTCGCAATTGCGGAGCCTTCGTGCGTGAGCCTAGTGTAGCCTACTTGGAGCATCCACGGATCGTAACTGCTGAGTGTTTGTGGGGTTAGTTTTTCCAGTGATAATTGATATAATTGGCAGAAACCAGTTAGTTTTAGGATGTTTTAGGAGACTTATTAAGTTTCTAACCAGTTACAGGCCGTGGGTTGATGCTCCAAGTAGTGGTGCTGTTGTGATTGTCTCTTTGCAGCGTGTTGATTTTGGCCAGAAAGCCAGATCCAATCCGAATGGTAATCTGGTTTTCCAATACTGTAGATGGGTGATAGCTTGGGGATATCTTCTAGTGCTGTGTGTGTATATATATATATATAGCCATGAAAAAAATCCCGGCAATGATCATTATCCACTTTGGATGAAGGGGAAAGATGGAGCACCAGGATTTTCTACCCCCCCTGAGATCAGAAAAAAGTCGCCTTTAGTCGACTGGTGCCTAGAGGATCTGATATCTTCTGATCCTAGCTGTTAAAAATTGTGGATCATGAACCGAACCAGCCTCTGCCATCTGACGAAGCCACAGAAGCTCAAACCGTTGTCCACTGGACCTGCCTCACTTTCCAAAATGGCTTGGCCGCTCAGTTGGGGAAGACGCCAATGTCGACACCTCTGGGGACCTTTGCAATCCCAGCTATTTCTGGTCAGTCATTGGTTTTTAGGGTTTACCACATTTCTGTGATTTCTGTATATGGTGGCAAATAGAAACCAATTTTTTTTCGGGACAGCTCTTACCCAGAAGCCGGTTACAAGTTTCCGATTCCACCAAGTTGAAACGAAGTGCTGTTTCGACTGTACTGACCGCAGTTGGTCCACAAACCTTAAAAAATCTAGCCGGGAATACATCGAAAACTATCTCTAGAAGTATAGAAGGCTGCAGATTACAGATTGACCCTAGCCATGGTAGTGTGGACGGAGCAAAGTCATCCAACATTGAAGCATCAAAGGCTCTAAAGCCTGAACCCTGAACCCTAAGAGTATGTTAATTTCCCTATGGGTAGTTCTTTATACATTGGGGTGATTTTACCATTTGTTTTTGCTACAAAAGTCATGACAATGGGTGGATAACCCATTCAATAGGAATTCAAATGGAAGGATTTTCTATGACCATGTGTGTATAATATATTATATATGATAATGATAATAATAATAATGATAATAACAACAATAATAATGATAAATAATAACAACAATAGTAATAATAGTAATAACAATAATAGTAATAATAACAATAATAGTAATAATAACAATAATAGTACTAATAATAATGATTAATATTCATATTAATAATACATTATATATAGTAAAATCTAGAGATGATTTAGTGCTTAAGTTCTTGCCTTCGGGGTGTCCAGGCGATGCGCCTCAGAGGTTTGGTGCTCTTGGCTGTGGGGAGCCCCACCGTGCCACCGGCCGGGAAAATGGGCCCTGGATGTCCCATGTAGGGCCAATTTTTCGGAGCTGTTTCGATGTTTTTTTCGGGTGTTCAAAAAAAAAAAATCGGAGCAACAAAAAATTGTCCCCCCAAAAAAAACATGACAAAGGGATGAAACACAGAAGTCTCGGTGACAAGTTGTTGGATGTTTCCAGTTGGGATGGACGGACCCAAAAGGTTTTGGTGCCAGGTCGCAGCCGCACTGGGGCTTTGGAACAGCACAAGCTTTGTGGGCAACGGGCTTCCAGGAGGGGGCGGATCTGGAAAACATTCAGCTGCCAATCTGCTTGGCGGATCTTGATGGTAAACCAATAGTACCCCTGTAGTTCACATCAAAATAGCTGGGATTTATGGATGTTCATCCACTAAAAATGGTATGTATAGGTATTGATCCATAGCCAGATTTTGATGTTATATGCTTGGGATGATGAGAAATCGCAGTGCCTTGAAGATATTTTTCAGGGAAGTAAAAAAAAACAACCAGGGTTCTGGATTGCCCCTCCTAAAGAACATGTTGAGATTCTTGTGGTCTAGATGTATCACTTTATCCACTTCATGCAGACATTTCAGAAGTTGTCGATAGGCGGAATACTACTGCGTGAAGACGATATCAGAATCATCACCTATGATCACTGTGTTGGTGTCATCAGGGTTGCTGCAACCTAGGTGAATGATTCGCACAGGGGAAATGGCTGATTTAGACTCAGCCAAAGTTCTCCGAAACGTATCGGGGATGTTGAGAGCAACCGCTGAGCAGCCCATCTCCCAGGACGAACCTCCTCCCTCGCCCTTCAAGCAGAGGCGAAGGGTGAGATGAGCCAGGAATCGAATGACCATGTTTTACTGTACTATACTGTACTAATCCCACCTAATCCCTACCAATGGAAGATACTTTGGAAAATCATATCGATTTATAGATGTTATAGATGATGATCCGAAGCAAGTTGAGCACCTCACAGTTTATCTCTGGTGGTTTATGATGGACAACGGTGTTATGCTAGCGATCACTTCGGGGAAGCAATATCCATTGACCAGTAGAGGGGAATGATGGTCCCATGGTACTGACCCATCCCCAGCAGCAACAACAACAACGACGACAACGATGACGACGACGAGAATTATTATTGTTGGGGATTGTCTACATCATTCTGGCCCAGATCGGGACTTTGCTATGAAACTCGACCGTGAAGGCTTGACAGGCCCATGGTTTAAACATTTGAGACATATCCCCCAGCTAGCATCCTCCCGCGCAGTTGTCATTGGTTTCCCGTGGTTTTTCTCAGTTCTATCACCAGTTACTGTATTCGCATCGGAAATCCGAAGGCCGCCCCCAAGAAGAAGGTGCCACCGGCCGGCAGAGCTTTTGCTGCGGACAACTGGGGAAGAACAGCTTCAATTCATCAGCTAGGGGATCGGCTAAACCAGATAAACCAGAGGTTTCCGCGCCATTTTCGTGTGATTTCCCAGGATTTCCCATGGTTTGGCAGGAAAAGGCGCCTTGGGTGGGACCCAAGAAGGGCTCTTGGGTGAAGATCCTTCGGCCTGAGTCCTACTGGTGGGGACCTTGGCATTTTGGCATTTGGTGGTGCCGATTTTTCTTGCGAAGAAATGGCAGTGTGTCAAAACCAATAGTACCCCTGGTGAACATCAAAATAGCTGGTAAATGGATGTTCATCCCACTAAAAATGGTATGTATAGGTATTGATCCATAGCCAAATGGCCAGCAGCAAGGTATCAGACCAGGGGCCAAGTGGTGAACGTCAACCAGAAGCCGGAAGTGAAGTACCCAGTGACCGTGCGGAGGCCTAGGTATTCTAGGTGAAGGTGACAGCAGCGAACGAAAAGGTGAAGAAATGGCAGAAGAGGCTGTTAGGTATTGAAGCGATATAACATCAATTTGATTCAATTTGATTTTCTTTTTGGCATACCCTCTGGTAATTTAACATAGCTATGGAAAATCACAATTTTTAATATTTTTTAATGGGTAAATCCACTATAAATCACCATTTTCAATAGCTTTTTGTATGTTTACCAGAGGGTAAGTTGTGGTATTTTCAGGTGTATCACCATGGCGACATCTCAAAAATCCCCCAGCCCGCCCACGAGGTGAAGTTCGACCGAGTGAACTTCTCCAACGTGAACACCAACGGCTTCGCCCTCTGGGAGGCCGAATCGGCCGTCCTTCTGAAAGGGTGACCCACTGCTGGCCCGGTTACCCCAAGTCATGGCCAACATGGGGGTTTCAAGATGGGGATCCCCAAGTCATGATGGGTTATAGATTGAAAAATACGAAGTCATGGTCTAATGACTGATTCGGAGGTCTTGGACTTTTTAGGAAACCTCCATTTGGTCATTTCTATGGGAAAAAACGAGTGTTTATCTTTGAACACTGGGAAATTTCACCTTTATTGCCAGGAAGCAATGGGGAAATGATGTTTTTCAACTGCAACCCAGCGATTTTCGGGTATATATTGATGATAAGACCCTCTTATGCTTAACTTGCCCTATATACCGTATGTATGTATATATATATATATGTGTGTTTCATTATATTATATTATATTATATTACATTATATTACATTACATTATATTATATTATATTATATTATGTTATATCCTGAATCGTCAGACAACCCCAATCCCTGAACCTACGATTTCGTTCAAAAAACGATCAATGCGTGATTAAAGCAACAACTATGGACAATTTCCCATTCATAGACGATTTACCTATCAAAAATAGTGTTCTTTTGCTATTTTATGTTTTCAGACAGAGGATCCAACAATCTTCCCACTGGACTTGGTGCAGGTGATTGAGGCTCCTGCCCCTGGTCCTGGTGAGGTCTGAGCAGTCTGATTTTGTGCGCTTTTTGAAAACTCCTGCGAGGTCTCGAAACCAGCGCAGTTTGCGCCGGGAAAAGATTGCGCCAGGAAGGGAATGCTGGGAATGCCGGTCTAAGGCTATGATATTCTTTGTTCCTTTGTTCGGTGTACAAGATCTCGAGGGCCAACTTCAGTCCGCTAACCGTCGAATCTTTCGAATCGTCAATGGTTATGATTGTCATGTGTTGGAGATGGTGCCAAACTGAGGCGGGAACGCGGTTCTATGAGCCGAACGCGGGGGACCTAAGTGTGAGGCGTTTTTTTTTTGGCCAACAAGTTTTGCCCGCCAGAAAATGGTGGGCTAAAGCTTCATCCTGGAAAGGCAAACAGCGCGCATGATGTGTTTCAGAGACAGCGAACCATTGGCCTAGGGAGCTCTTAGGAGCTATTGTTGTACTGTATCCATATTTCCTGTTTATCCTTGGGAGCCAAGGAGCTACACTCATTGAGTTTCCCAACCAAATTTAATCCCCATTAATACCATTAAACTCCCATGAAATCCGGCCACCGCAGCCACGGCCACTCAATTGGGACCCACCTTGCAAAGAAAAGGGTGCGACCATGGTGGGGGTCCACAGTGGCCGGATGTTGTTGTTGTTGTTGTTGTGGTTGAAATTGTGTGGAATTGACATGGATAAAGTATAAACACATATAGTCAACTCATGTATCTATATCACTAGTTCAATGGGAATCAGCGTTTTATCCTTTTAGGTCAGATGTATATTGTAAAATATCAACTATGATAAGTAATATATTATATAAAACATACACTATATATAATATATGATATGTTATATACTATATAAAGTATATTGTCTATCACATACAATATATAATAATGTATAATATATATACTATATATAATACGTAACATACACTATATAATACCTAACATATAATATACAATGAGTAATATATAATATATGATATATGATATATGATATCCATCATCTCCCCGCGTGACGCCTGGAGGCGATGCGCCTCAGAGGACTCGTGCTCTTGGCTGTTCGCATGCCCAACGGGGCCCGTTGGGGGAGCGGTTCTTTGCTGGGTAAGATTAACAGGCAGTGTGTCAAAACCTTGTACCCCTGTAGTTCACATCAAAATAGCTGGTAAATGGATGTTCATCCCCCTAAAAATGGTATTAATAGGTATTGATCCATACCCAACAATGAAAATGGGATAGACATGGATAGACATATCGAAAGATTTTTTATATCCTCCCAGCCTGTAATTGATGAGAGTCAATGACAGTATCCAATGTTCCATACAAAAAGAGATGTTTTTGTCGCTCATGCAGAGCTTGCAGAGTAGGATTGTTGCCATTTGGCCATCTGGGTCTGAAAATCACCTCATTCCACCCATTGGTTTGTCATCCCCCAATAGCCCCCTAAAAGGGGGCATACCCATTTTCAGGCACCGCAAAAGAACTATCTTGTTGCATATGTATATGTAGGTATCTATGTATATATGTATATATCCCAGGATATTCGCATTATATCCCTAGAATTACTACCATGTTTTAAAACCAATGGTATGCTCGTGAAATCCGAACTGTACATGTATGATCCCTTAATGCATAATGCTATTTATTATGATATCCATCCAGATGGAATGATATAGAGAGTATAGAACGATCATCCGCAATCAATATCTTCTATAGATATTCTGGTTGATGGTTTGGAATGTGTCTTATTTTCATCCAAGAAATGGATACAAATGAAATGATGATCCTGATCGAACTTTCCTATTTTTCAGAGGGATAGCTCAACCACCAGAGAGAAGCTACAAGGTGAGATCCCCGGTTATGTTTGTTGCTTCATAGTTTCATAAAGCCCATCAACCATAGGTATATATATATTATATAATATTATGTTATATCTCAGTTATGTTTGTTGGTTCATAAAACCCATTGGCTATAGCTATAGGCCATGACCCCTGGTTAACCAAGTTAGCATAGGGCACTCACCGCACCTCAGGTTGCAGCAGCCCTTGGGCTTTGGAACAGCACCAGCTTTGTGGGTGCCAGGCTTCCAGGTCAGGTATCACTTGAGATTTATGACATTTTGACATAGGGGGGGGTTCCATAGTCATGGGGGTAGCCTCTGGTTATGTCAAAATAGCTATTGACCATGGCCATTTATAGTGGATTTATCCATGGAACATGGTGATTTTCCATAGTGATAATCACTGGATAATCACTGGATACAATGATTAATAGTGGTAAATCTAATATATTATAACGATGTCAATAACGGTGTGAATAATAGTGAATATCTACATGGGGGTTTCCATAAATGGGGGAACCTTAAAAATGATGGTTTATAATGGACAATCTGAAAATAACATGGATGATAAATGGGGGTACCACCATTTCAGGAAACCCCCCATATGGGAACTATGGCACCAGTTTTTTTTGTTTCCTAATGATTCTAATGAACCAACGTAAACCATCAACCAGCCGATTTTTTTTTGTCATATTGAACAGATTTTAGTAGCAGTTCCTACTGCCATTCTCAGGGTACCGTGCCAGGCCGCACTTCTTCCATCGCTCTGGAAGCAGAGGCGACAGCGATAAGCAGAGACATGGGTTATGTGGCCACCAATACATCTCAATTGATCGGCGCTTCCTCCAGATCTTTTGCAATGCAGTAGATTTAATTTCATTAGTATCATTATTTTTTTGTCTATCACTATTGTTATGTATTCCTGTTATGCTTTTTTTCCGACACTTAGAACCAATTCTGGGAGCTATGTATAATATATGATGGATCAATTGATGACTTATGACTCATTTGCTATACTTGTCCTATCTTGTCCTTACGGCATTTCATTGCAATGCGCTTGCACCTTGCAGCACTGAGATATGTTCGGGTGCCCAATTTTCGTCGCGGGGGGTCCATTGTTTCGATGCTTCATGGTCAATCATCATCTGCTTGGTGGTTTCAAACAGGGCTTTTATGACTTCCATAATTAACATATGGGATGTCATTTTTGCCATTGACGAATTCATATTTTTCAAGATCTTCTTTAAAACCGCCAAGCAGTGATATTTTCCATCAACATGTGTGCTTTCACTTAAGTAGTGTCAAGCCCGGAGAAATATTTGAACTCTGAAGCCTGGTGATTATTTGGTGGTTGCACTCAAAATAATGATCCCATACCTTTGAGATTTGTATCCACCCATTAGTGGACATGATTGCTGGTCACTCCCCACCAAACAATCAGTTATGGCTGGTTAATCCCCAGTATATCCCATGAAATCTTCCTAAGGTCCTATGGTTGGTGAAAATCCCACAAATCCACCATCTTCAGACCAATTTCTAGCTGTCCCTGCAGGCAGCTCCTAAGAAGAAGGCCCGCATGGTGCTATCCATCCTTGGGTTTTTTTGGCACCCCAAAAAAAAGATAGAAAGCAGGAAATCCAAGTAGAATAATGTGATCAAGTATGGACATCTCCTAAGTTCTATTTTTTTGGGGAGGTTGCTATGATTGGAAAATGGTTTTTGACATGCCACAAATTCAAGTCTCCGATTTCCTCTGGCCAAAATGAAGCCAGGTCAGTCTCTTGCGAAATCTGTGACAAACTTTGGGATTTCAAGTCATATAATGCTAAAAAGCCCATTTGGGATGTCCATATTCTCCAGCCGATGGATGCCTGGATGCCTCCAGACCAAAGTTGGATCATTTTACCAAATCGAAAGGTCCAGGCCCGCTGAGCCCCTTCAGGAGAAGGCACCTTGGGTCGGACCCAAGAAGGGCTCTTGGGTGAAGATCCTCCGGCCCGAGTCATACTGGTGACCTGAGCTTTTTTTGGCGTCGGGGGATGGGTCCAAACCGTCCAAACCGCGATGTTGTTTTGGGGCGAACATGGCGAATAACTCGCAGCTATTCTTCATGGGTAGGATAGCCGGGTTTCAAACTCCAGGACCTGGATGCTTGTCTCACTGTCAGACGGCAATCCTCATTTCAACTGCTTGGTTTACTGTATCAACAGGAGGGCAAGTTGCATATCCAAAAAGTCAATGATGGCTTAAATGGAGTGGCAAATGGTACACCAAACCACCCGGGCGGCCTATCTTCCAAACGGACATCGTCGGTCTCAGTACTTGCTCTTGCCTACTTGGTTTAGCACCAATTACCATCCAATCCAATCCGAATCCAATCCATCCCTGACTCCCAGGTACCAGACCAGGGGGCAAGTGGTGAATGTCAACCAGAAGCCAGAAGTGAAGTACCCAGTCACCGTCCGGCTTCCCAGCCCAGTTACAAGCTGGGTAAACCACTGGAAAAAGGATCCTTGAAACTAGTAACGGGATACTTTGTTGATATTTTTTTGATGTTTTTCCCCAGCAAAATAGGAAAAAACAATGATTTGACAACGATACCCATTGAAGAGTTCATCTTTTTGCGTATCTAAGATTAGCCCCAGTCACCAGACGCTTGCAGGTGAAGTTCGACCGAGTGAACTTCTCCAACGTGAACACCAACGGCTTTGCCCTTTGGGAGGCGGAGACTGATCTAGTTACAATGATATTGTTAAGTCGCTAGCCCCGAAGGTACAAGACACACCACGGAGGGGTTGGTTTCCTACAACCTCATCGGATTTTTGTGGGATTCCCCCATGCTTTTCTATCCGTCTGGGATGAGAAAATCGCGATTGTGAGTTTGCTGCAGCAATGCAGGTGATTGAGGCTCCTGCCCCTGGTCCGGGTGAAGTCTGAGCGAAGATTTGAGTGGCCATAGCGCTTTTTTGAAAGGGATCTGATCTGCAGGGTGAAAAAAGGCCACAGGCAAAGCAAAAGCCAATCAGCATGAGTTATTTGAATTCGATTGAACCTTGACAGCCTGTTTGTTTTTTAACTGCGTTTATTTTTTCTTGCGTACTTTTTGGGCTGTCACATCTACCTTGTATATCCTTGTATGAATCCACAAGGTTTGTAAGAGACAACTCACTTGTGTACCATCACACGTCATCAAAGGAATCTGTCGACGCAGACCTATCTGTGCATGTGCCCATGTTTGTCCTAGATCTTTCAAAGATTCTGTCGCTCAGGTCTACGGCCAGTGAGCCGGATGTCATGTGAGCGCTGTGAGCGCTGTGAGCGCTGTGAGCGCTGTGAGCGCTGTGAGGGTATTGCAAGTGTGGCTGGGTATCAGGCTATATCAGGCTGGCCATCAATTGCGCAAAATGCATCTCTCTCTCTCTCATATATGTATATATATAATTAATCATAATTATATATATATATATACATATATAATTATATACATATATATATAGCAATAGCAAACAGGATGCAATAGGTTGTCTCTACATGTTTCTACTGATTGCATATCCACATTGTGGCCTGACACCTGGAAGACGGTCTGTATGGAATCCATATCTACAAGTCATCAAACTTCCTGCCAAGTTCCTAGGTCTATTCCAACTTAAAGCTATAACTTTGTGGATTTTTCATGATTTTTCCACTCAGGCTACGTGCTTTGCTGGTATCCAATTCACTCCTAATACATCCCGTTGCAAAAAACGGGCCGCGCCCACTGAGTCTCACCCGAAAAAACGCAAAAGGGCCGGCGATGTTTTGGGGACATAGTCAGAACTTCGTTTTTGGCATCTTGAGAAGTTTGGAACTTAGAACACAGATAACACAGTTTTTGGATACTTGTTGGATCTTTTTCGATGTTCGTCTGATGTTAGTAGATTTTAGTTGCAAACCATCCTTGGCGTTTTGCGTGTGAGATTCGCTACATGCTGCAGCTGGAAGGATCAGGTTACACATCTCCAAATTTCTCGCAGAACTCGGACTTGCTGCCATGGAATTTCTTCAACAAATGGCACTTTGCATTGAACAACACATATTTGAATATATACTGATTCATTCACTTATACATATTTGATGCATTCTGTTTGATTCCAAGATATATTTAAAAAACATGATATGTATACATATATATATACATATACAGTATATATATATATTCTCATGATTTTGTCAGATGCAACAGCTTCTACACAAAACCAGGTGATGCTGGCATTGATGTCTCTCGAAATGGCAATCCCGGCGATCCCGGCGATCCCGGCAGACGCCAGGTCGGTGTCTGCCAGGGCGTCTGTGGGTTGGAGCCGGCTGCGGCAATGTGGAGGCCGTCTTCCTAGGGAGCAGCTTGGCGATGGAGTGGGGGGGCCATATTGAAACCTAGGGACTGGGCTTAAGTTGGACATATCAAGAATAGAAATGGGATGACAATCCCCGATGACCTTGCCATATTTTTCAGGGGAGTGGAACACCTTAAGTACAGGTATGTATAATTATGTGTATATATATATATAGGTGTCTATGTCTTTGTACACATAGCATATACCATACTTGGAGGATCAGCCGACTTAGTAACTGGTGGGCTTACTTTCCCCAGATGGGACCCAGGAGTCGGGGAGTTACCAGCCAGTTCCTTAGTGGGATCCTCGGTTGTAGTGCTAAATGCTATATATCCTGTCAGGCCATGATATGAAGTGATTAAAAGGCAAGCAAAATTCGGCAAAACATGTTGGAATAGTTGGGCACGCAGATTTTGGTGCTTTCCACGGTTCATTTATACTGAGATCTACTTGGGCGAGACATGGGGCAAGATATGCTTGGGACGTGGCAGAAACGGCAGACGGGAAGCTTGAAGGCTTGAAGGGTAGAAAATGTTAAGAGTCGATGTTATGTGGGCCTAGCGCAGAGAAGTGCACCTCCAGTAATTATAAACCATTATAAACCATTTCCCCTTCCCCCTTCCCCCCCCCCCCCCTTCCCCCCCTTTCCCCTCCTTCCATCCCGTTCCCACAGTTCCCCCCAGGCGCTCCACAGCCTTTGCTGCGCGGGGCCACGGCCCAGCTGCGCTCCTCACAGCGGCGGCGGCGGCCTGTGCGTCCCGCGCAGGGCGCTGCCGCAGGCGGCGCGCGGCCGATGGGCAGAGCGGGCAGCCGAAGGAGGTGCGGCTGGGGAACTGGGGAAACCCACTTTCTGGGTATGAACTGAAAAAAAAAACTGGGAAAATTTAGATTTCAGCGGAAAAATCAGGCTGGGTGAAGCAATTTGCTGGGGTTTCACATAGTTTAATCATCGAAAATGGTGGTTTAAGCAACAAAAATTGGGGGTTAGGCATCAAAAATGAGGGGTCAACTGGATGGATACTTTAAAACAACCCAATTGTTTGGTGTAAATGGGGGATACATGAGCCTAATCACCTAATTAAGTCGTCTAATTTTTGCAGGGTTGGGAATAGACAATTGATGAAAAGGTGGAGTTCAAGCATCATAATAGTTTTAGGTTTTTGACAATCAAAAAATAAGGAACTCAAAAACGCATCTGATAAACACAGCGGTTCAATTGCTTTAGTCAGTACAAGATGGGGCCCCCAAGATAGCTAAGTTGGTTTATAAGTGGTTTAACTATGGTTTATGGTAGATATAACGAACTAGTTAATGGGGATTAATTCATGGTTTATAAACCAACGTTCACATCACTGGGGGGCCCCATCCCAAGGGCTCGGGCCCGCTGACCCAGGCCATGGTCGTCGGCGCAGGTCCCGCAGGTTTGGCGGTGGCGCTGATGTTGGCAAAGAAGGGCTGGGCCGTGTCGGTCTTCGAGCGAAGTAGCGATCCAGCAGCCTATGACCCAGGTGGACTGCTGATGATGGTGGTTTTTATGTAGCTGTATATGTTGGAATACATGGCAGTGTGTCAAAACCTTGTACCCCTGGTGAACATCAAAATAGCTGGTAAATGGATGTTCATCCCTCTAAAAATGGTATTAATAGGTATTGATCCATACCCACATGCTAACAATCTTTGGGGATACATTAGGGACATGATGTGTTTTTTTTTGGGGTGTGTCTGAAATTGGAGTATACGCTATACCCCAACATTGCGATCAAAAAGTACGGGAAATGACGGACAGTTTGGAGGGGTATGTGGTGCCTGATATGTGAGATTTACATTGATGGCAGTAGAGGTGCCCCAACTTCGAGCCGAAGACGCCGAAGACGCCGAAGACGCCGCAGACGCCGCAGACGCCCGAAGACGCCCGAAGACGCCGAAGACGCCCGAAGACGCCGAAGACGAAGACGCCCGAAGACGAAGACGCCGAAGACGCCGAAGACCGAAGACGACGCCGAAGACCCCGAAGACGCCCGAAGACGAAGACCCGAAGACGCCGAAGACGCCGAAGACGCCCGAAGACGCCGAAGACGCCCGAAGACGCCTGAAGACGCCGAAGACGCCCGAAGACGCCGAAGACGCCCGAAGACGCCGAAGACGCCCGAAGACGAAGAAGACGCCGAAGACGCCCGAAGACGCCGCAGGGTTCCGAACAGGAGTTTAGAAACTAACTCCAGATTTCTTTTGTGTCGTTTTACTCCGACCATGTCCGACCAACCCCAAACTTGTCATTTTGATTTATCTTGAGCCATGTTTTATCTACCTCCCTCGGCCCTACAACACAACACGTTCAACATATGAAGCAAGTTGACCTGTCGAGTCATTCTGCTAGTCATTATTATTATAGATTTAGTCCCTTCTCCACACAAAACACTATGTTCAACATATGAACCAACTTGGCATCTTGAGTCATGTTTGAAATGTCTTTTCCTTCCCCTACAACAAGACAATACGTTGAACAGATGAAGAAAGTTGGCATCTTGAGTCATGATTGAAATTTGCAACTCGTCGACCCTACAATGCAATACGTTCAACGTATGAAGAAAGTTGACATGTGGAGTCTTTTTTTGAAATTTATCCCCCCTGGACCCAACCAAGCAATATATACATTCTGGCCCCTACAAAACACAACGTTCAACATCGTTCAGCATGAACAAGCCATCTCGAGCCATGTTTAACAGGTCCTTTCCCTACCTTTGCAAACCAATACGTTGAATATATGAACAAAGTAGAAATGTCACGTCATCTTTATATTTTGAACTCCTCTCCTTCCCCTGAAAAACAATACCTCGAACACACCAAAGAATGGGCTTTCGACATTTACAATTCCGTGACCCTACACTGCAATACCTTGAACATGTGATCATAGTTGGCATTTTGGGTCATTGTTATGATTTCTTCCCCTTCCTCCTGCCCTGTACAAACCGCTACATTCAACATATGACCCAACTTGGCATCTTGAGTCATTTTTGAAATATACCCCCCTCGACCTTTCAATATGTTGAACAAATGAAGTAAATTGACATGTCGAGTCCGCGTCATCAAGATTTTTTGCGCTTCCGATGTTACAAAACAATATGTTGAACCAACAAAATTGTCATCTCAAGTCATTTCTAAAATTTACCCGCCCCTCGACCCTACAAGGCAATACATTCAACATATTAAACCAACTTGGCACCTTGAGTGATGTTTAAAATGTTTTTTTCCTCCCCTGCATATAATTGCCTTGAATATTGAACACATTATGTCATTTTTTTGCACCCCCAAACCTCCACAAAACAATACATTTGAAAGCAGAACAAAACTTCTATCTTGAGTTCTTTTTCCCCACCTGCCAGGTGAAGGTTTCTAGATTTTAACAAAGGTGCGACTCCTTCCTCTTCTTCCTCTCCTTCCTCTCCTTCCTCTCCTTCTCTTCTTCCTCGCCGGCTGTGGATGCAGTGGAGTGCGGCTCGACCTGAGTGCCATGCCGCGAGATCAGGATGCCTGGACCCGACAGCCATATCGCGCGCTCAGGAGGCTGTGGAGCGCGCCTGGACCCGAACAAACAGAATGGCAGAATATACGTCAGATACAATGCCAGAAAGAATGTCAGATAGAATATCAGAATATATTTGCCATAAATACTTCCAGATGGTATGTCGTAAACTATGTCAGAACATATAGCGCGTAAGAGAGGGGAATAAACTTACCTTCCATCAGCCCTGCAAAGCAATAGGTTCAACATATATTATATGAACAGTTGACACATGTAGTTAGTGTTATATAGATTTTCAAACACATCCCCTACAAGGCATTCAACATGTAAACGAACTGGGCATCTTGAATCATGTTGAACATGTTTTTTCCTTCCTCACAAAACAACACGTTGAATTTATGAACAAAGTCAAAAGTGTTGATTTATTTTCACATATTTCAGCCCCCCTACCCTACCCTACAAAACAATACGCTGAACAGACGAAGAAAATTGGCATTTTGAGTCAATTTTGTGATTTACCACCCATCGACCCTACCAGATAATATGTTGAACTTATGGAAAAAGTTGACTGGCTGAGTTCTTCTCATCGGTTTACCTCATCAAAACACTACGTTTAACATAGTTGAACATATGAACCAACGTAGCATCTTGAGTTGCGTTTAAAATATCGTTTCCTCCCTTGCAAAGCAACACGTTGACTATGAACACAGATGAAGGCTTAAGTCAGTTCATTTTTTTTATGCCTCCCCCCGCCACAAAACAATATGAATGTTGAACACATGAAACAAATTGAGATCTTGAGCCAGTTTTGAAATTTATTCCCCCCCTGACCTTACCATGAAGTTGACATGTTGAGTCGGGTCATTGCTACAAACTTGCCCGCCCGTCCCTACAAAACACTACGTCCGTTCAACATTAGAGCTAACTTGGCATCTCGAGTCATGATTCAAATGTCATTTCCTTTCCCTTCAACAAAACAATACGTTGAACAAATTAAGACAATTCATCTTGAGCCATTTTTGAAAGTTACGACCCCCCGACCCTACACAGCAGTACGTTAAACATGTAAAGAAAATTGGCATATTGAGTCATTTTGTAGATTTCGCCGCTGTCCTCTTGAAAGCACTACGTTCAACATATGAACCAACGTGGCATCCTGAGTCATGTTCAAAAAGTATTCTTTATTCCTCAAAAATCAATACGTTGAATATGCGTATGAACAAAGTTGAAATGTTGATTTGTCTTGAAACATTTCACCCCCCTCCCTTTCCAATTCATACATTGAACACATGAAGAAAAATGGCATCTTGAGTCATTTTGCAATTTACAACCCCTCGACTGACCCTACAAAATAAAACCTTTTGCATACCGAGAAAGCTTACATGTCGCGTCAGTTTTCAAATTTACCCTTCTCGACCCTACAAAGAAAATAGTTGAACATTTTGGAATTTTACCAACACCTTGACCCTACAAATCAATACATTCAACATATGGATCAAGTTGATATGTTGATTCATTCTTTTGGATTTACCTGCCCTGTCCCCTACAAAACATTTTGTTTAACGTATGAATCAGCATGGCATCTTGACTTATGTTAAAATGTTCATTGCCTTCCCCTACAACAAAACCATACATTGAACACATGAGAAAAAGGAATCTTGAGTCATTTTTGAAATTTACAGCCCATCGACCCTACAAAACAACACGTTGAACATATGGAGAGATTTCGCATGTCGAGTGATGCTTGGGATTTCCGTCCCTTCGACCCTGCCGGACAAATGGTTTAAGGTATGAAGAAACTTGCCATGCGGAGTCATTTTTAAAATCTACATCTCCTCGACCCTACATGACCCTCCTAGCTAGCACCCCCTTCAACAAATGAACAAACTTGGCATGTTGAGTCATTGTTAAAGATCTACTCCCCTGTGCCCTACAAAAATATACGTTCAAAGTCGTTCAACAAACAAACCTGTTTGGCATCTTGAGACGTGTTTAACATGTCCTTTTCCATGCAAGTCAGAACCTTGAAGATAGGAACAAAGGTGAAACGTTAAGTCATCTTTTGTCATCCGCCCTCCCCCACAAAAACAATATCTTGAACACATGGGGGCAATTCTCAGCTTGAGTCATTTCTCAAGTTACCAATTTTTCAATTTATTCCCTTTTTCGGTCCTACAAAGCAATATGTTCAACGTTGGAAGAAAGTTGACACGTGGAATCGTTGTTGCGAATTTACCCCCCTCGACCCTACAAAACAATACGTTCATTTTATGCGGAAAGTTACCACGTGGTGTCATTTTGAAAATTTACCCCCCCCCTCGAACCTTCAAAACCATACGGTTGATTCAACATATGAAGAAAGTTGACATGTTGAGTCATTGCTATAGATTTACCTTCCGGCCCCCTACAAAACACTTTGTTCGACATATGAACCGACTTGGCATCCTGAGTCATGTTTGAAATGTCTTTACCTTCCCCTACAACAAAGCAAGACGTTGAACGAACAAAATTGGAACTTCGAGTCATGTTTGGAATCTACGCCCACTGGACCATACACAGCAATACATTCAACATATGGATCAAGTTGACATGTTGATTCATTCTTTTGGATTTACCTGCCCTGTCCCCTACGAAACGCTATGTTTAGTGTATGAACCAGCATGGCATCTTTACTTATGTCAAAATGTTCCTTGCCTTCCCCTGCAACAAGACAATACGTTGAACACATGGAAAGAAAGGCATCTTGAGTCATTTTTGAAATTTACAGTCCCTCGACCCTACAAAGCAATACGTTAAAAAAAAACGGTGAAAGTTGACACGTCGAGTTTTTTTTACGGTGAAAGTTGGCACGTCGAGTTATTCTTAAAATTTAGCCCCCCTCGACCCTACAAAACAAACGGTTGAACAAGTGCAGAAAATTGACATATGGGGTTATTTTTGCAATTTATAACCTCTCGTCGACTCCACAAAATACAAAGCAGTACCTGTAATATATGAACAAAGTTGACATGTTGAGTCGTTGTTTTGAAGTTTGAATGTACTCCCTCCATCTCCCCCCATCTCTTTTAAAACGCTACGCTCAACATATCAACCAATTTGGAATCTTGAGTCATTGTTATGTTTTTTCCCCGCTGTCCCCTACCAAAACACTACGTTCAACATATAAAACAACTTGGCATCATGAACCATGTTTAAGGTGTCTTTTCCTTCCCCTGGAAATTATTACGTTGAATATATGAACAAAATGAAATGTAATCATTCTTATATTCGTTAATTCCTTCTCCTACAGCAAGCCAATATGTTGAACATGTGAAGAACATTGGCATCTTGAGCCATTTTTGAAACTTATCTCCCTCGACCCTACAAAGCAATAGGTTTAGCATATGAGTCATTGTTATAGATTTAACATGATTTAACCCCTTCGACCTCACAAAGCAATACGCTCAACAGAATATGTGGGGTAAATTGTTGAAATTTCCCGTCCATCCACCCTACAAACCAATACGTTCAACACACGAACAAAGGTCAGAGACAGGGGCGTCAAAACGGACAAAGATCTCCTGTGGCAGTCGGTCAGGGGTCGTCAGGAGTCGTCAGGGGTCGTCAGGGGTCGTCAGGGGTCGTCAGGGGTCGTCAGGAGTCGTCAGGGGTCGTCAGGGGTCGTCAGGGGTCGTCAGGGGTCGTCAGGGGTCGTCAGGAGTCGTCAGGAGTCGTCAGGGGTCGTCAGGGGTCGTCAGGGGTCGTCAGGGGTCGTCAGGAGTCGTCAGGAGTCGTCAGGAGTCGTCAGGAGTCGTCAGGGGTCGTCAGGGGTCGTCAGGGGTCGTCAGGAGTCGTCAGGGGTCGTCAGGAGTCGTCAGGAGTCGTCAGGAGTCGTCAGGAGTCGTCAGGGGTCGTCAGGGGTCGTCAGGGGTCGTCAGGAGTCGTCAGGAGTCGTCAGGAGTCGTCAGCGATCGAGGTCGTCAGAGTCGTCAGGAGTCGCCAGGAGTCGTCAGCTGAAATTGGACAACTGTTGTTGCCATCTCTGTGTGATTTACTTCGGGGTATTATGTTTGTTGTATTATATGTATAATTTATGTATATAACATGTATATACAATATAATATAGACAAATAAATAAATAAACAATTATATACGTATATATACTTTAATGTATATATATATAATTAATGTATGTAGACAGTATACATGTACATAATGTGTATATATATATATACACATGTAAATAATATATATGTATATATAATTAATATGTTTTTACATACACAGATATATGATGTTCGGGTGTGTCCGAGAATGGCACCTACCCCCCCAAATGGTAACTAGGAGAAATTGTGGTCATCAACCATTAATCAACCATCAAATTCAGGGGACCCCATATATGGGCAATGATCCCCAAATCATCCGCAAGTTGGTGAATTATGATGTCATTTAAAGCCAAACACTTAAGTGGGAGGTGGACGTTTGCTGTTTTGGGAGTTTGCAAGCTATGGTCCACAACACAATTTTGAAAAAGTTATCTATAATCATTCAGGGACCATCATGCATCCTCCTGGTACAAGAATCCCATGGCCTCCAAAAACCAAACGGAGTTGTGGTTTCTCGGAAACAGGAAACATGACCCATGGAGTTGGGGTTAAAAGAAACACTAGCTTGCAAGATGCCTCAACAATCATCTTAAACCACTCCATTGATAGCCATGAGTTGTCCGTCAAAACATACCTTAAATATCCTTAAATTGTCTCAGACCATCAGAGGGCATGGTTTTGCAGAAATCAATCATTTGAAATCAATCCATTGATGCACGCCACAAGGTGCTACTCAATAGGTTTTTAGTTGGTTTAGTTTCACCCAAAGTGATAATTGAGTTGTGTTTGCCAACTTACCTATCATAAATCAACTATAGTTTCCCTTTTTTAATTTGTTAAATATCTTTCGTTCCAGGGTACAGTAACCAACCCCCAGTTAGACAATGTTAGACACCCCTTTTGTTCGCCCCAGGACAATATCAACAATATCATTTGTTTTTTCATGCCCATGATATATACATATATTAAGTATATATATACACATTATGTATATAAATATATATGCCAACTACACCTATGTTGTATTCGCCAACTCACACCCTCAACGCTGAGTATCTATCCAACTCGATTTCCCTGCAGGAAAACCCCATATTTCATGGGACAATCGGAAAGGTTTCCTGTTAAGATTTTACCGCAGAAACCAATCCATTGACAAGTGGATATATGTAATTGGATGTAATTGGTAATCATATGATCCAATCATGAGAATTATCAATGGATTGGTTTAAGGGAAAATCTTAACCGGAAACCATGGTTTTTACCATCAAATATAGGGCTTAAACCAGTAAATTTCGGGTCGCAGGCAAGGGCTTCATGTATTTGATCGACGGCCGCGGGCAGCACTTGCTGCGCTCGCTGGGTCTCTCCATCTTCGAACGCCTAGTGACCTCGGCGGTCGCCATGGCGGACGCGAAGATCGGGGTGCTGACGCCCAAGGGCTTGACGGAGCGGGTGAATCCCATTAAGGCCCGGGCCCGGGGGAGCTGGTTGCGGTGTTTTTTGTTGGAGGAACAGGTGGTTTTGGGTAGGGAAAAGTTAGAGATAATTACATAGAGATACTGTATCCTGACATTTTTTTTTGGGGGTGTGAATGTGGCCAACTGAAGTTCTGCGGTTGGGGAGATGTTCCCAAGGACTGAGGGACACACGGCCAGCATTCAGCATTCAAATACTTCCACACCTGAACACAGAAAACATGATGAGTACAGATAACAGACAGGACCATCACACCTTTCGAGTGGGATCTCACCCCGTTTTTTGTACCTGCCGCCGTTCAGGATGCAGATCGGAAGTCCTACTGGATCCCGCGCCATGCGTTCGTGGGCTACTTGCTGGTTGCTCGGTGGACTGAAGAGAAATGGTTGGGAATGTGACCCCTCATATACTCATACCTGGGGAGCCAGGGGGCTATATAAGTATATGTTGAGTGGGAGTCTAACCTCGTAAATTGATTGATAACTTGTAGCATCCCGGGATTGCCATTGCTGCGGTGACTGCTCTTAACTCTTAACCTTGGAACCTGACAACACGACGTCCAATTTTCGTGGCCCGGGGGGTCATATGATCTTAAAGTCTTAAAGCATGGTTTTCCAGCATTTCGAGTTTGAGAGCAGCAGGTCCTCCAATTTGCAGCACATCCTGTAGATAAAAACGGTTCATCACCAATCTCAGAAGGGCTAGAAATACCTCAGGTCTGGGTCCCTGAAACTTGGAATAATTTGGGCAAATTTGGGAAAAACAATACATTTTTACACACCAACAGATAGAGAATGAACGGCTTCTTAGCGAGATGACCATTTCATTCTCAGGATGCGGCCAAGAGCTGTGAGAACATCCGACCCTTGGGGCATCCGACCGGGAACTGGTCAGTTGGAACGGGGTGATTTTTCGCAGCAAGTGATATGGCTTATGGGGCTGTTATGGGGTTGTTTGACCTGATATTTTGGAGATGTTTTCCTGGCTGAAATTGCTACTGATCCAATTTTGACCCAGTTCCAGGCGGACCCATATAACCCTGACGAAGATAGTTGTAAGCCAAGTTATTTTGGGATGTAAATGGTGCAGGTGGACGGGGCCCATCATTGTAGAAAATGGACTTGTGGTGGTAAGCCGATGCCGCTGACTTTCCTGATGGAGGGTATCATGAACCTTTGCATTTTATTCATCAACAGAGTACTCCGAACGTTTGTCAAAATTATGAGAATGATGATGGTTATAAATCCTGGTGGGTGTGGATCATGAAGAGGCCAATGCATAAGGATGATGCCAATAGAAGGAGAGTTTATGTTGGTCATGGTGGGGGTGGCCGCATTTGGAACTTTGATCCAAGATATTCAAGTCAGCGGCCACTGTTTAGAGGACGTGTATGTATGTCTAATATCTACAGGAATGCAAGAAAAGAGGTGCCATAAAAAAGGTTACCATCTGGTTATTTAACATAGCTATGGAAAATCACCATTTTTAATAGGTAAACCATCTATAAATGGGCCATTTTCCATGGCTATGTTAAATAACCAGAGGGTAGATTTTAACTGATTCCAGATCTGCTGATTGTTTCTTTATCGTTGATGATTAACTCACCTCCGACATGGCCAGAGACGCTTGCCTAAGCTCACCTCCAATGTGTGAGAGGGACTGCATTGGAACAAGGACTGCATTTGGACGCGGATATTCAGGACATCAAGAGTGATGCCAATGGTTTCCACATCAAGAGCCTCAGCTATCAGAGATCAGCCAGGTGCCCGTTTTCACGGTCGAAGTCACGAAATTTCCTGGCCTTAAAGGGTCAAATGGAGATGAGGATGTTATAGTGATGGTCTTGTGATGGTCTATGATGGTCTTGTGGGAAAGAACTACCATATCTATCCATATCTACCATACTCAAGATCTCCAGTTGGCTGACTGTTGGCTGACTGTTGGCTGTGCCCAGGACTGGAGATGGGATCCGGTCCGCCAGTCTACTGGTGGGTGCCGATGGATATCGCTCCCAAGTGCGAGAGAAGCTTGAGGAATGGGATGGAAAGCAGGGAAGATATGAGGTGAAGATGCTCGGATTGCAGGGCAGGGCCCCCACAGGGCGTGGACTTTGGCACAGGGAGATCTGTTTTCTTGCCTCTTGGGGAATCGGAGGAATCAAAGGTGGACTGTTAAGTGGATCACTAGACAGATGAAGAATGTTATGCCGGTTTCAGATGGTGCTTTCGAAACAGCGATTGTTTTCACCACTGGGCAGAGCTTCTCCACCAGTACCCGTGCGTGACCCGTGGCTATCAACACTTGGACATGCTGCCTTGGATATATCCCATTTCCTACCACTTCCCATTGCATCTACCATGATTGCGGTGAGCCAGTAGGCTTCCCATCAACGAACCATGATTCTCGTCATGTCTCTAGGTCCAGGTCCAACACCGAGGAAATTTAGCTCACCTTCTGCTGGACTTCGTTACAAAGTTCTAACGCTTCCAGGGGAGTTTGAGCTGTCAACTCCAAAGGGGGTTGAGGCATTTTCCAGTGACGGCTTCTATGCTATTCGAGGCAGGAGCCGGAACTGGCAGATCTTTTGGAGGCAGCTTCCAGCCAAGGTTTCTTTCAATGGATAGCCAAAAGCCAAGACTTGGATATTGTTCCGTGACCATTCCCATCGTTTCCAGTGAGTTGTGGCTGATTTAACATGATTTAATGCGAGTTACCCTCTGGTAAACTAACATAGCTATGGAAAATCACCATTTTTAATGGGAAAAACTCACTATTTCTATGGCCATTTTCCATAGCTATGTTAGTTTACCAGAGGGTAATATGATTTCACCATATAAAAAACCGGATTTCGCTGGATAATCCAATGCTTCCGAAGTCAGCAGCAGGTGTCTCGAAGACGAAGTGCAAGCAGAAGCTTGGGCTGATCCCTGTCTCACAGGAGGGGCGAAGTTGTGGGAGTGGTACTGGTCGTATACCCAGGATCTGCAGGAAACGAACCATATATAATATTATATATATATAATGTGTACTGTATATTATACATATGTGCATTAGATTTGTATCTGTATATACATATATGTATAGACAGGTAGATGGATGGATGGATGGATGGATGGATGGATGGATGGATGGATACTGTAGATATAGATAGATGTAGATAGATATAGAAAGACATAGACATATATAGATAGACATACATAGACATAGATAGATTTAGATAGATTTAGATAGATATACTATATAGATAGATATAAAGATAGATTTAGATAGATATACTATATAGATAGATATAAAGATAGATGTAGATAGGTACAGAAAGATTATAGATCTGGAAAGCCCATGATTCTTAGATCATTTCCTGAACACGTGGAGCATGGAGCTCCTCTGTGAGAACAGGCGACTCCTTTTGCTCTCTGTCACCCAAGAAACATGGGATGTTTTTGGGGTTTAAGATTCAAATTCTGAGGCAGATATCTTGAGATCCTCAACATGTTGAACATTTTCAAGGCCCGAACAGGTGAAGCAGATACTCAGATACCCCAATCGCAGCCGATGCAAAAAAATATCCTGGCTTCGAAGGACTTTGGCGCGCGCACGGCGAACCTCATCACCTACGAAGATGACGTGGTTTGGGAGGCAGACACCGTTGAGAGCTTCAAGAGCTACGCGGAGGACAAAACAAAATCGTGATGTGGGAGGAGTTGGACCGGATTTTGTTGATCATATTTTGAAATTATATATGTATAATTATTATGTGTGTATATATGTATATGTATATGTATATGTATATGTATATGTATATGTATATGCATATGCATATGCATATGCATATGTATATGTATATGTATATGTATATGTTTGCATTGTACTCCTGGTAACGTGCCGAAACTTCCCTAAGCACCGCAGGACAATGGCCTTGTGATGCCTTGTGACTTGCAGCTTATTTTACCGTCTTTGTATATGTTTGTAAACTTCTCCTGGTCGCATCAGGAGCAATGGCCCCACTTTCCCGTGGAAAAATTGGTGCCGGAGGAGGAACTCAAACGCTTCGCGGAGAATCGCGGGGGGCGCTTTCCGAGCCCTCAGTACTGCCCAACGGCAGTGTGGAGGAATGAAGGTGCGCCACCTCTCAGACTCTCAGGTTTCAGCAGATGAAAGTTGGATTTCCCTCCAGGTGAATAACTGGTGGTTTGAAGACGTTTCACAGATCCTATAGTTCTATCATGTTCATTCATGTTCTATCTATCATTTTCCGGAGATTTAAAGCACCTCATCCAGGGGGTCTCAAGCATCAGACTACCAGGTGCTGCTGCGATTCTGCTGGGTGATGCTCTGCATTCGCTGCCGCCGGATATTGGGCAGGGCGTCAACAGTGCGCTGGAGGAGGGGAAAAAGGGGGGGGTGCTGGGACCCTAAAACGAACAGATCTAATACCAAACTGGTTGCTAGATGTTGCTAGTGGGCTATGTGATATTAAAGTGATATCAGGGGATTATCTACTTAATCTTATGCAGATGGTCAATGAATATCTATGAATATCATTCAATGACCCAACAAGGTTGTCTTCATGTGCAGATGTTTGGCAAGTATTACTCAGTATTGCTGTTTGTGAGGAGACAAGACCATCGTACTTCCTTTCAGGGGACGGACCGCTACATGATTGATGACCAAAAGAAAACCAAACATTACAGAACTTCATGATTCAAAATAAATCCATTCAACATACAGAAACAATATTTATCTATATATATATATCAATATCTTATATAGCCTTTAGGGATTCTATATCTATAACATCCATACATCTATACTCATATAGATTTTGAATATATATATATTATTATATATATATTATTATATATATATATTATTATATATATATTATTATATATATATTCTTATATATATATAGATATCTAGACCCCATAGATCGTCCAACTTCCAACCACATTTTGTCAGGACGTGACCGTCCTGGAGTCCTGTCTCGACTCCACGGCAACGTCCACGGAGGCGGTCGAGGAGTTCCAGAAACGACGCCTGCCGGACGTGGAGGCGCTGATCCGCATCGTGCGGGTGGCGGCGCCCTTTCAGTGCCTTGCAAGATCATTGGAGAATGGGTATATATTGTATATATATATAATATTATATAATATTATATATATATAATGTACATTATGTATACTATGTATATTATGTATATTATGTATATTATGTATATTATGTATATTATGTATATTATGTACATTATGTACATGATGTATATTATGTATATTATGTATACTATGTATATTATGTATATTATGTATATTTTATATTATGTATATGTATATTGCTTCTACATAGAAGCAACAATGCATGAATTTGGTGGTCTTAAACGACAAAAAGGCAATTTCAGGGATATGGGGATACAATGGAGATATACTCATGTACACCAGAAACGGGGTATTGGGGTCTTAACATGACCTAACCATTTTGAACCAGCAAAATGCAACCCTCATGGGAAAAACATGTTTGGAAAAGTCGTTTAACTGGGCAGGTGAGGGTTTTAGACCATGGTGTCCTGCCAATTGTTTGAAGATGTTTGAAACAAGGTGTCCCTGACTGGGCTGAGAGTTTGCAAACAATATCTGGGGTTGTAGTGGGCCGGAATGGGTGAAAAACATCGGAAAGCAACATGTGGGATGGATTGATGGGTTTGGATCTTTTTGAAACCTTTTTGAACCTGAACAATGGAGACATATCAGTGGATTTGGAGGGGATGGAAATAGTCCCACTGAATTCACTTTGGAAAGCAGCACATGATACATGGGGGAAGACCAAGGTCCTGACAGGTGCTAGAATGAGAATTGCCTCTTGACTTGAGGTACAGCCAGGCACCCTGGCGGGGGCGTCTATGGAATGCGTCCTTCCTTTCCAGACTCCTGTTGAACAAGCTCTTGCCCAGCGTGCCTTAGAGTCAACCTTTCGATGATGGTTTCAGGGACAGCGGTAACTGCAGACAAAATCGCAAAGCTATGCAGAAATGTCACCAAACATCCAAATTGCAACATCTACGGCAAGGTGTTGTAGAAGGTTGGCTGGAACTTTTTTCAGTCTCCCAAACAGCTTTGGATTCCTGTGAAAGAACTGTTTTTTTTTGGGAGACTCGACGGTACAAAACCCCTATATATGATAGTACAAAAACATCCAAAAAACCATCAAACACCGTGGTTTCCAGGATGTTTCCTGTAATCAAGCAACCCATTTTTCTGAAGTTTTAAGCATATTTTCAAGGCAGTTTTGCTTGCTTGTTCACCCCAGTAAGTGGGGTAACAAAAAGCCCAGTCATAAGTAGGGTAAGGGGTTGGTCCAGGTTTTTCAGTGGGGTTATATATATATAACATTATATATATATATATCCCACTCAGGATTCCTGGGGTTTTCCACCACCAAGTAGCCATACATTAAATCCCATCAGATACCACGAATTTCCAGCCGTCGTCGAGGTCTTTGACTTGCCTCTGTTCCTCTTGATCCAACGCTCCGAGATGAGCTATCGCGAGGCGACCGATGGGCCATGGCGCATCTGCAACCCGAAAAAAGGCAACCATTGGGACTCGTCAAAAATAGGGATGCATGATGCAACTATGAAGAAATGGATTTAACCGGTTAAATCCACACTGGGGGTTTGTCTAGAAATGGGGATTGAGATTAGTTCATGGTTTAGTCCAATTCCTAGCGTGAAGATCCGAGTAATGACGGTTCATGATGTAATGTGGAGATGGATCAAGAGCATTTCCGGAAAATTGGCAGAAGAACCATCTATTTCTCAGCTATTTCAGAACCTTCACCAGGGCAACAGGGTTCAGATCCACAGCTGGACGTGGGGATCTTGAGAGCCGTGGAGTCATGGAATGCAACAGCTTCTCACTCCGTTTTTAAACATGTTGCTAGAAGCCCCTGCCTCTGACAGAAGATCTCACGTCGGATGGGCTAGGCCTAGAGCTGGCTCACAGGCTTACTGGTGTCTTGAGAGATTATGATGAGATTAACTGATGCTAGTGACTGATCATGATGATTGTGAACATTTGTGAACGGTGACGATGATGTGATCAGCATTTTTTTTCCATCATTCCAATCTACCCTCTGGTAATTTAACATAGCTATTGACAATGACCATTAATAGTGGATTTTCCCATTAAAAATGGTGATTTTCAATAGCTATGTTAGTTTACCAGAGGGTAGTTGGTGGTTTCAAGCATCTTGGACAATTCTGAACCAACCGACATCCCTTTCCAAGCGCCCTTTCCAAGTGCCACCACTGATCTAAAGAGGTGAGAAACCTCACGACGGTCTACCAGAAAAAAAAGGCGTTTTTCAACACAGTTACAGCTCCAGCTCCTAAAGGATGATCAGCACCTTACCACCACCAGCACCAGCACCAGCAGCATCATCATCATCATCATCATCACCACCAGCATCATCACCATCATCATCATCATCATCATATTACTATTATCAACATTCATGGTATCATTACTTTTGTCATCACTATCAGGATGATTTGAATCCTGATCATACAACAGTAGTGTATACTATCGGTGGACCCGTGATGTTTGTTATTGTCTACACCCCACAGTCGCTAGTTCGCGAACTGTTCCCCATAAACCCAACAGTCGACTGGCTAAATCATGTTACTTCACCATTTCTACTGGGTAAAGCGCCAATTATAAAAGCTATACATCGCCCTGGAATATAGTCTTATGTTTTCATGGTGAAATTCAATTTTTCCTGAATTTTTAGATGTAACATCTCCATGTCCCTCCGCTATCATTATTTGCATCATTAATAATGATAATTTTATCATTATCATTATCAAATTCATAAATTATTGATACCTGGTTGGTTGTTTCAAACATTTTCTATTTTCCACTATAGGATGGGATGTCATCCTTCCCATTGACTTTCATATTTTTCAAGATGGTTATTGCACCATCAACCAGTATATATATAAATACATATAATCCACCAGATAATCCACTATTAACCATCATTAACCATTGTTAAACCCATATATATATATATACAACTATAGTTTCTATATCCACACCAACCAGTCATATATGATTCTTCGCCCCATTGGGTGACTCACGCGCTGCGTTGAAATCCAGGTCTGGAAAAAAGGCTCACGTGGAGCTAGAAGAGCCACAGCCCTGGGAATCGCAGCAGCAGGCCGATAGGAAAGGTTGTTGGAGATGGGTTACCCGGCCTGGTAAACATACAAAAAGCTATGGAAAATCACAATTTTTAATGGGAAAAGTCACTATAAATGGCCATTTTCAATAGCTATGTTTGACATAACCAGAGGGTTTTAT